CCGGCATATCGTATAAAATCTGTGAGTTGGCTGCTCTTTACTGACATGACCGTATCGCGGCTTAATTACGCATTTTGATCTCACTTTCATCACGCAGTGTCATGCTTCTCCGTCGCTCTCGGCTTTCCCGAAGACTACTTCGTTCGCGCCAATGACGTGAAGCAGTCCGACTGCATGACCCAGTTGCGGCTCATCCATTATCCGCCTATGGAGAATGCAGCGGGCATGTGGCGAGCCGGTACGCACACAGACATAGGGTGCTTGACTTTGCTCTTCCAACGAGATGGCGAAGACGGCCTAGAGATTTGCCCAGGTCGGGAGTCGTACACTAGCTTCGGTATGAGTGATGTCTTCACACCACTCCCCGCCAAGACAGGGCCTATCGTGGTCAATATTGGAGACATGATGAGTAAGACTTTTCCAGGAAATCCCTCAAGAGAGCAAGGAGAGTATCTCATAACCTTCTTTTTTCCTCCAAACAGTGGCCTGGTCCGATGACCGACTCAAGAGCAACTTCCACCGTGTTCGTGCCAAGGATTTGGGCGAATCTCCTTCTCGCTATTCAATTGCGTACTTCAATCAGGGCAGGAGAAGCTTCATACTCCAAGGCCCGCTCAAGAAGTAGTTAGTTTTCCACCTTTACTTATGTGTGTCTGTCTTCAAGTGGACATTCTGACTTTATTTTCAATAGCCCTGCAATGACAGTCGGCCAGTGGTTTGATGACTCGGTATCAAAGAACTTTGGACGTTGAAAGGCGGCGAATTTGTATTGCATGAAAATAGTCATCTGAACTCAAAAGAATTTTTGAGTTTTGGCTTTATATTGTTGAAGCACCTGTTCTTGAAATGTTAGCGTTCCTTAGACATGGCAATGGCTACTGATATGTCTCATGATTTACTTTTGAAAACTAACAGCCATCACCAAGCCATCGTCAAAAAAGCACTTCGCAAATTGCTCCCCTAAGGTACCTGCATTTCTCGGAGTCGCTTCTGCGGCTTCGCAAGCACAACCAACGGTCTGCGTGTTAACATTTGCGTTTTCTTCCTTTTTCCCTTGATTCTCCTACCCGAAATGGGGGCGGGGGCGGTGTTTGGGTCATATATCTCTACTTGTTTCAACTTTATAGATGTCGCACATGTTGAGTCATTAGTCAGGTTCGATTGATCTCATGATGGGGTGCGGTAAGTATCAAGCATACTCATGAGTCTGAGACCCTTTTAAGAGAGCTAGACACGCTATTATCTGTATAGAATGGGAATCATACGGTGGCATGTGTTGTCAACGGTGGAATCATTGTTTGATCCTGAGCACTTCGGTAAACATATTCTGACTATAATGTTGTCATTCTTTGAGTATCACTGCTCTAGCCAGCTGAGATGCCACCAAGCATTTCCTTCTTTCTGTCTGCCACAAACGAAAAGACTTCTTACGCGGCGGCAAGACCTGTCTAGTACGTCATATTCACCATGATTGTCTTTGGTTCAGTGAAGGCCTTGAGCGCATAAGCGCCACACTCTCTTCCTATGCCGCTCTCCTTAACCCCTCCGAATGGTACGTTGAAGAAGTTCAAACTGATACAATTGACACCAACCATGCCGGATTCGAAGTCAGACGCGACTCGCAAGGCTTTGTTGATGTCTTGGGAAAATACACCAGCCATAAGACCAAAGCTTGTACCATTGGACAGGGCCATTATCTCCTCTTCAGTCTTGAACCTGCGGAGAACTGAAATGGGCCCAAAAATCTCATGCGTATGGATCTCCGACCCTACATCAACGTCCGTGAAGACTGTGGGTTCCAGAAAGAATCCCTGACGGAAAGTATTCAGTACAGAAGATTATGATACAGAAGCCGGATTATACTAACCTTGTCCCCTATTCGCGCACCTCCAAGCGCCAGAGTTCCTTGCCCGTTTTGGCCACGGGCAATGAACCCCATAACACGATTGAACTGTGCTTGGTCGATCAAAGGGCCCAGCGAGCCATTCGTCTGGTTCTTCATAGCCTCCGACTTGGCTTTTAGCGCTTCTAAATAAGCCTCAACGAAGCGATCGTAAATCCCCTCTTGGACGTAGACGCGGCTAGCAGCAAAACAGACCTGCCCAGAATTCATCGTGATTCCCTGAACAGTCCACCTAACCGCGTTCTCAAGATTGCAGTCATCGAAGACTACTGCAGGTGACTTGCCTCCTAGCTCCAGAGTCACTCGTTTCAAGTTGGACTTAGCAGCCATCTCTTGAATCTTCCGACCCGTAGGTCCGCTTCCGGTGAATGTGATCTTTCGAATACGCATGTGACTAGCTAACAAGGAGCCAGTTTCTCCATCTCCACTTAGGATCTGAAAAACACCGGGGGGGAAGCCAGCAGCTTTGACAAGTGAGCCGAACGCTAGGGGAGACAAGGACGCTTTTTCTGACGGCTTGAGAATGAAACAATTTCCAGAGGCGAGTGCTGGGGCTGCTTTGAGACCTATTGTAATCAAAGGACCGTTCCAAGGGATGATTGCCGCTGTTACTCCGAGAGGCTCGTGTCGCACAATCTTGAGAAAGCCGTCATCTTGTGGGAAAGACTCACCAGCGAGCTTATCGATCCAGCCGGCATAGTAACGAATTCCTTCAATTGCGCCGGCGATTTCATCTGAAGTAGACGTCATTGAAGCCCCAATCTCCAAACGGCTGATGCTTGCCAAGCTTTCCGCATGTTCTTCCATCAGATCCGCAAGCTTGAACAGCATTTGCCGACGCCGACTGGCTTGGACATGCTTCCAAGTCCTGAAAGCATCTTCAGCGTATGCCACTGCCAAATCGACATCTTCTTCTCCTGCTACAGGGATCTTATCTGATAGGAGAACTCCATCTCTGGGGTTGTATGTTGCAAGTGTTCTGGTGTTCTTTGCGTCGACGTACTCATTATTTAGAAAAAGCTGCCCAGGAAGGTGGGCCGTCGAGTATGGTATAACCATGATAAACAGAGTTTTAGACAACCGCGTGAATTTGGCAATGATCAAAGTTAGGGAATGAAGAGAAAAAAGACAAAAAGAGAAACTAATGTCAAGTGGCCGGAGTATAAACAAAAGTGCAGGTTTCATCGGCCCTTGCGGGCTCCCATTAGGCGAACGATCTAAGCACACTTTGTGAACCACCTTGTTGATCTGCGATAAGCGCCGACCCCTGCAAAGAAAAAAAAAAAAAAAAAAAAGCCGTAGTGATTGACCAAAGGCGGAAAGCCAACAGAACTTAGCCGGTTAGGACGATGTGACACCTCCCAAGATCCAGTTGTGAGGGTGATAAGAGTGGTGCTGATTGTATCAACCAACAGCTGGATCACCAAACGTATCGTGGACTAATCCAAGTTGGGGTGGCTGATTGAATCACAGACAAACCTTACTAGCGTTGATAACACAGTCTCTACCGTACTACAATCAATCCCATGAGCTGTGAGAAAGGTTGCAGTTGCGGTGGGTAAGGGGGTTTGACCCCGCATCGAACTCAGAACAGGGGCGCTCTACTGATCCCAAAGGACGATTGAGGCAATCTGGGCTAGGCTTAGAACCACCCTTACGAACTGCAATGGAAGCTGAACAGATGGGGCAGAACACGCCTTCGCTCCCCAGGCGATTGACTCGACATCCGAATCACTTTCAGTATTATGGCCGGGCGGAAAGGCTAAGGATTGAGGGCTGAGCATTTGATAACGAGAGCGTATCGAGGCATGGACACTGCGTATCGTGTAATAAGGTAGGCTGTGAGATGCCATTTGTAACAAAATTTGAGCCGAAAAGCCATGTGTCCAACTTATCTCTTAACAAAACTATGTACAGAATTACCCACATGCACTCAAAACTGACCAGCTTAGCAGAGCCGAAACGATGCATGCGATTCAGGTGTTGAACGGTAACATTAAGATCAACACTGCCGTCAAGATTTGCCGGAGTTTGTTTCCACTGAAAGGTGGAGAAAAGGCTGATAGGTTCGGGGCAAGCAGTTAGGGGTGCGCCACACCACAACAATGCTGAACAGCCAACGAGGCCAGACTTATGCCGGCCAGCAGCTCTGCCGTCGGGTAAGTTCCCTTCGCTCTAGTAGTGCCTGCTGGATAAGAGGAATACTACCGTTCTAACATACCTTGCTATGGGTAGTAGGGCGCCGGCCCGCTTCCGCTTATCTGTGCGGACCGTCACTTATCCACGGCTGTTTAGTGAAAGATATTAAGAATTTAGAATATTCGTCCGCAAATTCTCCCAATCGCGACCCACACGTGTTATGCCTTTGTGTTGGATTTACAGCCTGTCTTTCACTACTCGTTCTTACAAATCGTGACATGTGCTGCAGAGACGGGTGCGGTAGTATGACATAGCACGGCACCGCCATTTTTAGTCTTCAAGGTATCTAGAGAGGTCAAGATAGAAGTCTGATACAAACACGGATCGGCGAGGCCGTACTGGTGGACATTTTGTGGGTGACGAATGTAGTGCAGTCCAGCTGGTGACATAAGAGCTGAGTAGGCTGTGGTTGATAACACAGCCTAATAACAAGTATCACCATCGTTGATGCCGTAGTCATCGTTATTAACCCTCACCTGTAGAAGGTTTATCGGCTCACAGTCGGCAGGAAGCTGGGTCTACTATCGCTCTCAGACACCTACTGCATTCTTGGCGCTAATTCGAATTGGGACTGACCAATGCTTCTCTTATCTAAGATAAGTCGCTGCTAGAGATACATGACGGCTCTTGCCCCGGTACTGATGAGTATCTTCCGGCTGTGTTCTAAACCCAGAAGAAGCGAACAGAGCCAGCCGCATCATATGTTCCGGCGCTAGATGGACACTTGATAGGGCTCTCGATTCGCCAGCGTGCATTGATTAACCTCCAGCCAGCATCTCTGATCAGATTCATCATCCACAAGACCTTTAAGTAAAGCTTCAGCGGACTCAGAACATACAGAAACTTTGTATTGACTTGACTCGGTGAGATATACAAAGACCCTCACAGAGATACAGCCATGTCATTGCCAAACAGCGCTCCTCACGTGGGTACCGTCAATTACGATCAGGCACAGGTGCCTGGAACCGTCTATCTTATTGATCTAGACGGGCATCTGAACGCTTGTCATGAGAGCCGACATAGCGACATCGTCCTTGTTCCTACCCCATCAGTAAGAAACATTCTCAGATCGTCATTTGGTCCATGGCTGGCTCACCATCCAATCTGCTCAGAGTGATCCCGATGATCCATTGAACTGGAGCCCTGTGCGCAAGCGGGTTGGGCTTCTTTGTTCCATCACCTACTGTACGACGGTTGGTATTTGCTCGGCGGCTCTATACTCCGTTCTGGGCGATATTTCGGCGAATTCAGATCTTTCCCTTGCCGATCTCAACGCAGGAACCGGCTACATGTTCTTGTTCGCAGGCATAGGCTGCTTAGCATTCCAGCCACTCGCGCTTCAGTTTGGAAAACGACCAGTCTATTTGATGAGCTTACTTGGGAACCTTGGAATGATGCTTTGGGCACCGTATACGACCTCAAAAGGAGAATGGTTCGCTAGTAAAATTCTGCAGGGGTTGTTTAGCGCACCGTTGGAGAGTCTCTGTGAAATAACTATTGCCGACCTGGTGAGTAGTTAATATTCCTGGCTTTTACAGCATTCTTTAACTGATCCATCGTCTAGTATTTTGTCCACGAGCGTGGCTTCTACATGTCCTTCTATGCCCTTGCCCTCTCCGGGAGCAGTATGTCTGCGCCAATATTTGCTGGTCTGATTGCAGCTGGACAGTCTTGGAAATGGGTATTTGTAAGTTGTAAACATGGAATTTGAGATGGCTTTTCCGTTATTGGACTTTGGAAACTGATGACGGCCTCCAGTTCTGGTGCGCGATATTGTGTGCTGTCACAATCGTTGTGCTTTTTTTTTTCTTGGAGGAGATAAACTATAAGCGGTTAAATGTACCCGTTGTCCTAGGCGGAGTTAATAACCCGATCTTGCTGGAGGCAACTTTGTCCGGAGATAGAAAACTAGACACCGGTACCGTCTAAAGTAATATGAACCCTGGTATCGAGTCGAAAGGGACATAGGTTACGTACCTAAAATAACGATCTTTCTTGGATAAGTTGAAGCTTTTTGACCGGGTACGAATGGGATCTAACGGAGCCTTCCTACCTATGCTTTGGCTCCCATTTAAATGCATGCGGCTTCTTTTGATCGTTTTCTGTGGCTTCTATTACGGCTCGAGCTTAGTCTGGTACAACGTACTCAACGGTACCGCAGCCCTAATACTGGAGGGCTAGTATGGATTCTCGACGACTGCTATCGGTGCCTCCTTTGTGGCTCCCCTCCTTGGTGTGTTTGCTGGCTCCGCGTACACGGCATATTTCGGCAATCCATGGACACTGTATCAAGCACGTAAGAACAACGGCATACTCGAGGCCGAGCATCGCTTGTGGCTCCTGACGCCACCGATAATGCTTCTACCGTTGGGGTTGGTGCTGTGGGGCGTGGGAGCGGCACAGAAAGTCCACTGGTTCGGCGTGCTCTTCGCTATGTTCATAGTATCCGGCACGAGCGCGCTTTCAGTACAAGGCTCGACTACGTACTGCATCGAAAGCTACCACCTAATCAGCGGCCAGGCCATGGTTTCCATTATGCTGATTCGTAATACGATGAGTTTTGCTGTCAACTACGGGCTAACAACCTGGGTCACAAACATGGGGCTCCAGAATGCTTTCATCCTTGCCGCGGTCGCAGGTGCATTTCAGACGGCGTCGGTGCTTCCCGTCATTAAGTGGGGTAAGGTGTTGAGGAAACGGAGTGTTTCAACTTACTTCAAGTATGCAAACCTTTGAGTATTAGTTTGCCCTGCATTGTTGCCATCAATTTCACGAAGTATGCTACTTGGAGTTGGAGAGTGTTGTTACTGTCGTGCGATTCTCTGTTTCCAATATGCGAGTAGTATTTGTAAGCACATTATGGGGACCATCCCCTTATTGGTAGATGGCCCCAGCTAGTACGTCTCTTGGTTTAATCTTTGATGTGGGGCATTCAATAGGGACGCATGCTTCTCTAGAACGCGTCACATTATTTACCTCTGCTTAAGGTAGCTCAAGCAAGCAGCATCTCCCTGTGAAGGCAGTGAATGCAATTGTGTCAATACGTCTGTTGCTGTTATCCTACTAGGCTGTGATCATAATACCCTATTGGACAACCTCTCATAGCTATGAAAAGCTACCTTCTCTCTGCTCGGCCTCTACGATCCCAAAAGTTGCCCTATCTCTGGTGCGTTGCTGGAAGTTATAGCGCACCAGACCCTGCTGGTCGCAATAGGCAATTAATCAAAGCTGGGACAGTGAGAACTTGTTACAGATCTGTTTCAGGTAGTGAATGTATCAAAAGATTGATATGCTAGACACCTCATTATGGGCTTACGAAGGCCCAGGACGCACAAGATAATTAGTCATTAGACCCCATTCGGCCCCGAAAGTCTCTCATCTCCACTATTTTGGTTGATTGGTACAACGAGTCTTGAAAAATGCGTCCGGACAATATCCGTAATATCGGACCTTGTTTCTCGCTGTTGGGCCAGCCAATGAATAAGCTCGGAAACGTTCACTCTTTTGGGATAGCTTCTTGGACTGCCATTTGTAAGCTGATGTAAATCCCCAGCAATGTTCCTTGGCCTTATAAATCCTGCCCGACATATTGGTTTTTTGATCATCGAGTAAGGTAAATAATCTCAATTCCATATATACATTTGCTTCCATATCCTTTGAGCCATCTCAGAATCGCACATCTCTTTATTCACCAAGCAGATACGAGACAGCAGTTGCTTACCATGACTCCCGCCACATTCTCCTCTTTGGTCGAGGCCCGGTACCAGAATCACACCGCAAACGCCCAAGATGGCCCCCACACGCCAACCATCGAGTTACTATTGCGTCACCAATCAGTCCGCAAGTTTCTCTCTGATGCCCTCCCTCCAAATGCACTAGAAATGTTTGTCGCAGCTGGCCAGAGTGCATCAACCTCTTCTATGCTGCAGAATTGGAGTCTTATTGCCATCCAAGACCTAGCACACAAGGATGCGGTTGCTACGCTCTGTGGTGATCAGGACTTCATCCGCCAAGCGCCTCTTTTTCTCATTTTCTGCACCGATCTACATCGCATGAGCCACCTTTGCGAGAAATACAACCAGACAGGCGAGGCACTTGATAAACTGGATCTGTTCATGCAAGGCACGCTGGATGCCGCTATCGCGGCTCAAAACATCACCATCGCGGCTGAATCTCTCGGGCTTGGCGTATGTTACGTAGGAGCGGCACGAAACAATGCGGCCCAACTGGCACAGCTTTTGCGCATCCCTGAGCGCTGTGCTCCCGTTTTTGGGCTTGCCGTCGGAAAGCCTGACCCTGTTTCAAACCCTCCTGCTATTAAGCCACGTTTACCTATCGGAGAGGTTCTCCATCGTGAGCGTTGGAACGATGATAGGCAAGACGAACTTATTGCTTCTTACGACGACGCACTGGGTGCTTTTTACTTTGGTCAGGAGAAACTTGGACGGAAGACTTGGAGCGATCATACGAGCCGCCATGTGTCTACTACTAACCTTGATGGACGCGAGGTTTATAGAACGACTTTGGGTAATCGAGGATTCAAGCTTGATTAGTTAATGCAGAAGAAGTAGTGTATGGGTCTACCTGGATCACGTCTTAAGTTGGAGACTCACGGTTGCTATTTGGTCACGAGTTAGAGCACGCAGCAATGGGCATACGGAGTGTGGTAAAGTGGCTTAACCTAGAGAAGTGAAAATAGACAAAAGAGAAAGATCTATGTACAGGACGTAAGTGAATCCTGTGAGCTTGCCACAGAAATTAAAGTTTCGACTTTTCCATAGGTCATGTTCATCCTCTGTTTCCGTTATCAGCTTTAGAAAGTCTATTAGCGTTACTGTAGTATAACGTAGGGAGGCCGAACGTAAGGTTATGGTTATGCCAATAGCTACTCGCTCTATAACGAGGTAGATTTTATTATACTTGCGATTATCTATAATAGGAGTACTTTATTAACAGACGTAGGATCTCGTTAGACGTAATTTATAGGCAATAGGTGCGGAAAAAAGCCTGAGATATTAAACATAGAATTATAAGTGACCTTTATTACCGTTCTCGTAATACTACCTAGTCTAATAAGCCGTGAGGAAAGGCCCCTAGTACCTTATGAGAAGTATAATAACGCATTTTACTATATCCTAAGTATGCTTATCGTTTCTATATACTAATTAAATAAGATTAAGATATATATAGGAGCGTTAATAACTTATTATTATAGGCATACCTACTTACGAGAGTTACTGTTATGCCTCTTAAGCTTAATAAAAGAAATTAAGTTTACTAACCAAGCTCTACCGGTGATTTATCCCTGTTAGAAGCTCGATTCCGGTAACTAAGCGGAACCCGATTCACTCCTCAGCTTCCAGAATACTAGCTTGGTCCTATCTTGAGCATAGGCAATCTCGTAGTACGCAAAACATGTGTCTCAGAGGGATCTCAAATCGTGGTCAAAGTAGCCTGTTTGATAGAGGAGGGAAGATACCATAGAATCGGGCCATTGATTAAGCAAATGCTCATTCACCTTTTCACACAGATCCCATTCCTGTGAACGGTCATGCTTCAAATCTTCCTCCATCACGGGCAGATATATCGGTTCCATCGTCATCTCTCCAAGGCGATTTGGCCCACCAAAACATAGAGTGTCCATGCAGAGACACAGAAGGTGCACTTGTAGACTCTAGTTCGCATCCCTTGCTGCAACACCCTGCCCGCCACTTGTAATTGCTCTGCTTATTCTTCCTTATTGACCGGGAGTGACCAGGCTGCCAGAGTCCTGCGTTCTGACTCACTTTCGTGGGCTAGTAAGATTGGTTCATTAGGCTTTGATATTCTCTATTATTATAGCTATACCCCAATATCATAGCCTTTTACTATTGTTTTTTCTTTTAACTAGTAATAATTATAGGAAGAAACCTTAAAATAGTATTATAGGTAAAGACCTAAGATAAATATTAGTTACAAAGGCCGATATTAGTATTATAACCCTCCCTAGAACTATTCTTATAGAAGATAGTTTATAATTAGTAATAAACCTAGTAAACTTATATTTAAAACCCTGATTATTATAGTCACCCTTATAACACCTACCTAGACTTACCCCCCTATTTTAAATATTATCTTAACGAGGAACTCTCTTTTACTAGGGCTTATGGCCGCGGGTATTAGAATAGGCGTTAGTTTAAGCGTTCTTTATCTAGTCTCTATAATCTTTCTTTGTTTCTATTATTATAAGTATCGTAAGACTATTAATATAAAAGCTATTAGCCCCGGACCTTGAAGAGATTATAGGGAGATAGTAAGATATTGAAAAGACTATAATCCCCCTTACGTAATGAACTATTCGGAATATTGGGTAGAGTAGCTTGCTAATCATCACTATACGCACCGTATAGGGGACCTCAAAGAAGACTTATAGCATCGTCGACAACTTCCTCCTTGGCCAAGGACTTTTAATGATCGGCGCTGAAGTTGAGAAGAGATTGAAACATTTAGCACAGCTACCAGACCATTAAGATTCACAGGTAACTTCTGGGCTGCACTTCTCCGAAAAAAAAAGGCGTGAATACTTGATTGATACGTGTCTAAGCAATTTGGGGTGTCGAAGATTGATCTTCAAAAGCAATATACGAAACAAGACAAATGACCAAGAGCAGCGCAAAGCAGGGATTAACCGTCTGGTTGATTCACAAGAGCATTTGAGCATACATTGTGCTTCTCTTTATGCGGGCTGCAGGCCCACAAGAGCTCCCGGAGCGGGGAATTGTTTGCCGTTAATCTCCTGCTCACTGAAGAGGAAGTTGCGGTCGTTTTCGAGGTCAGCAATAACGCGCCTCTCATTCTGCGGCGGATACTGCGAGGGCGTTTCCGGCTTGGGGTCGACTAGGCAGGCTCGACCATCAGCGGCTTTCACGTAGTCGGCGTTGATGCCAGGGGTTGTCCAGAAGACCATATTCGGGTCCAGCTCAGATTTGAGTGCAGAGAGACGGCGGTAATTTGAGCCCCAAAAAGAAGTCGACCATTCGAGCTCATCAGTGCTGGCCTGGTCATCTTGTCAGCGTAGTTCTCTTATTCAGGGCACGATCAACAAACCTCGCAGATATATGTGCCCATGTCTGGCGCGAGCTCGCGGAGCTCATCAACGTTGGTGGTATTAGATTTGAAGCCGTTTAGCAAGACGGTAGCCTTTCTCCAGCCGGGGTTGACGGCAGTGTTCGATCCATTTCCAACCGCCATGCCGGGCGATGTCATCAAGACGCCAAAGTTTCCTCCCGTCTTTCGAAGCGCGTGTGTAAGATTGGGGCTCTTCAAGTGCTCGTCGCCAAGGAGACGACTGTCAAAGGGGACGACGCCATGATTGCGAGGTAAGTCGGTAGAATTAAAAGCCTCGAGCTGTCCGTATGTTTCCTGGAAGAACTCCTTGTAGCTATCGAAATGGAAATGTTTGCTCTGAAAAGGAGTCATGCCTTCATATGTCTGCATCTTTTCGAGAATTGGTCCCCAGACTTCGTTCGCATCTTGCGCGTTCGCCAATGGTCCCGGGTGGATGGCGTGACACCTGATGTTGTCGTTGAGGACGAATAAGTACGCGGAGATGCCCTTCTCCTGGAGTTCCGGCAGCACAGAAAACAGGTATGCCAGTGCTTCGCTGGTAGGAGTTTTGCCGCTCTCTGCATCGGTGTCGTTAATCACGAGGGTGGAGTTAATGTACCAATGGAAGCCGAGGATGGGAATAGTAGGATACACTTTCCATGTTGCTTCGACGACAACGCCAAACGTACCGCCTCCGCCACCTCTGATAGCCCAGAAAAGATCAGAGTTGGACACTTCATTGGCGACGCGGAGTTCGCCGTCCGGCGTGACAACTTTAGCCTCAAGCCACTGGTCTACACCAAGGCCATACTGTGCAGTGAGGGGCCCATATCCTCCATTTTGACCCCATCCACCCCCGATGGCCACTCCTTGCTATTGCAAGTTAGTTTTGGGAAAGTGTCAAAAGTACGGAGTTCATACAGCTGTGCCGCCCACAATGAATAAGCCAGAGGATTCTAGACCGTAGTTTATAGCCAGACTTCCCATGGCCGGATTGAACGTGACTGCCGCCTGTGAACCACTTTCGGGTTCGATCGTCTTCAATTCCTCATCAGCCGCAGGGCTCTCAACACCCTCCTTGGTTGCAGTGAACGACTTCAAGACTCTGGCTCCTCTAAGAAGCGACAAGTCAATGATTAGTCCGGAACCGGCGTCGCTGCGGCCGAGTTCGTCATGCCCGGTTGTGATGATAGTAAGGCGAATGTTTTTCGAGGCGGCGAACTTGACGGCGTTTTGAACCTCCGAGTAGCTCTTGGCGCGGATACGGTAGTTAGGAAGGGGTCCGTTGGCGTCGCTTGAAGTTTGGTTGATGATTCCGGGTAGCCTTGCTTGCCACTCCTCAGCCGTGGGCCAGTCGTCGTCAGTAAGAAGCTTGGAGCATCCAGATGGCGCAACAGCCGCTGAGCAAGCTTGAAGTCCGAGAAAAATGATGAAACAACGAATGAACGAGTGGTTAAAGTGTGCCATTGTGGAATTATTATTGAGATTGTGCTTGTAGTACAGAAAGAGGTTTGAGGAACGAGACCTTGAACCAATATATATCTACCTGTCTGTCTCCTAGATATCCACACTCCACAAATGAGGTTGCCTGTGGTGTCTTCCTTCAGAGCTTCTACAAAGTGCTTGTCGTCTTTCTCGTTTTTTACTGGCCCCTCGCCATCGCTCTCGCTCGCATTCGTGTAAGTAATCCGAGTCCGCACCTTTTCGTTTGCTCCCTTCTGTTCGGATTACTCGGCTGTGGGCACTTTCAGACTCTGGAGACAAGTGATAAACCTGACTCTGGCACCGGAACCACCCGATAAATCCGAATACGATAGCGAGACTCCATGTTGCTTCCAGCTGTTGCAATTTTTGTACCTGTCGTGCAGAAATCAGTGCAGTGGCAAAATGCTCGATTACAGAAATCTTTCTACCATGTTCTCTGCGAGCTCGCATTGTCGCTGTATATGAGACTCATCTATTTATGGCTCTTTGCATAACGAATATCGAGAACGTCGACACATTTTCAACTTCTGCTGGATTGCCGTCTGAGACAGACCTGGGGCATACAAGCTTACCCAAGAAAGTCAGCACAGCCAGGTTTGGTTTCAAAGTTGATTCCATGTCCCAGCTGCCGTACGAATACAGCTATCAACTTGCTACGTGACAAACTGGAAGGTTTAATACTCTACATCACAATAGGGTTTGCTGCAAGAGTCGTATAGAAATGACCATGTTTTGTAGAGCCAACGTGAAGCACGACCACACTCAGCAGCTATCACCCGATGTTAGACGAGACGTGGGAGCAAAAGAAGAGAACCATCGCTGCTGATAAGGCGAAACCTAAATAGCCAGCTTGAAAAGCAGGAACCGTCAACTATATATCACCCTCCTTCGTATGAGTGCCTTGGGCTTGCTGCTCGCATCAACAATTTTCAATCATCGTGTCTGCTCGTTTTCAGAGTTTCAATCCGCCAATCATCAATCTGGTATAAGTGCCATGAGGATCGTACTTCTTGTTTATCCGATTGAGCCTTTCAACGTTTGTAGAGTCGTATCCCGAGAAAACATCCTGAGTATCACCTGCATTATTGAGAGGCACAAAAGGCCACAAGACACCTGCCAACTTGACTTCCAACTCAGAATTGACACCAGCGATTAGCTTGGTCATGAGCTCAGTCTCGTTCTTGAAAGACCAAGAAAAGGTCTGTTCACACATGAAGTACGGCCCAGCGTCGGCATTGACGCCCATCGGGTCCCCGGCAGGATCTTCGCCTCGGTTATTGACGAGAAAAGACTTCGCAATGGGATTCATTGCGAGTGTAGCGATGAATCCGGTGATTCCAGTACCATGCTCTTTTGCATAGTTGAAAAAGGTGTCGTGAGCTTCGTACATGGTGTCTAGATTCGCCAGGATGGTGAAGCCATGGAAGCGGAAGTTCTGACCGTGAACCCGATCAAAGCCCTCGTCAGATTCCGCAGTCCAGTTGGCCATGGTTCGAATAGAGAATGTGCTAGAGATCTGAGAGGTTGCTTTCGGAGGGAGGAAATCTGCAAGAGATCCAGGGGTGGTGTCATTAGCACCGTTGTAGAATAGTTTTGCCGAATAAGTGATGTTGGAACTAGCAGCTGGCACGAAAGAAATTGTCGGGAGGACAAAAGCTCGCTGATCGAGCACACCGTTCTGACTGAAATCGAACAAGTTCTTGATGAAGGAGTCTCTTTGGCCAGCGCCATAGCCTACACTGCCGACAGCAACTTCTGCCGCCTCGACGGTCTTTAGGTCGAATCTAGTGACAATAGCAAAGCTGTTACCGCCGCCACGAAGTGCCCAGAAGAGATCAGAATAGTCGTTAGTAGCGGTAACATACACGACAGAGCCGCATGCCAAGACAACCTAGGATTGCATTAGCAACGACTTCCAGGTGTCCAGCCAAAAACTTCTTACCTTATAGCCAATGACATTTGCTGAACCCCAGCCATGTTCGTTGCTCAAGAAGGACATGCCCCCTCCTAGCAGAAAGCCAGGAACACCAACAACGCCAATGCGGCTACCCACCGCGGTCAACCCGTGAGGGGATAGATATTTATACACATCTGACCAATCATGGCCGGATGCGACCGAAACGGAAGTCCCATCATCGGAGAGTTCAAGGCCGGTCAGGTTTTGGGTCGATAACAGTACTCCGCTGGAATTGATGTTTGCGGCCCCTGGAACTGGCATCCAACCGCCTCCGCGCACCGCGAAAGGAACATTTTGCTTCGATAATTCCTTCACAGCATGTCCCATTGCTTCCGAGGTGTCTGGCATAAAGATACACGCTGGTCTCAGCCACTCTTCGGCGCTAAAGTAATCTGCGACAGTCAGTATGCTTGCAGTCTCCGAAATAATGAACAAAGACCTTCAATCTACCCTCATTGACGAATGAATAGTGTGCATTGTTTGGTAGAACGATTTGTTCCGGATAGTTGTGTTGTAGGATCGAGCAGACTAACGTAGTGTTTCCGTTTGTCGAGCTTGCAACTAACGGCAAGGACGTCAACACAGCAAGTGCTATAGTCGGACTGAATTGATTGCCTATCATCATGAAAGTTTGAAGGAAGACAATAAATGCCAGAGAAAACCAACAGAGAAAGTCAAATAAGGCAAAGCCGAAGGTGCTTCAGTTTAATTATCAAGTCCAAGGAAGCCTGCGCTTTAGAGTGGTACGGTGCGGTGAGGTCGCATTTAAACGAGACTGGACCGGAAAGCGCGTTTCCAAAGCTCGTATCTCCGGCCCGCCTTGAGATTCATAGCCAAAAATGATGGGTTTGCCACTAAAAACAGCTTTTCGCTTTCGGCAGAAAATCGACAACATCAGTAAAGGCCCGCGGAGATGGGGATGCGCAAGCATGGAAATAATAGATGACGCGGCATCCGGGCAGAAAGCACAGCCTCTTAGTCCCGACCGAGAGTCAAGATAGTCTTATCGGCAGTTATGAAATTAGCTTAGGGTCTTGATCTTCTAAAATCTTTTCTATAAAGTAATGGGCGATCTTGTAGTAGCCTCGATAGTTATCCCGACTCTAGCGAGTCCTCGACATAAGGCTAGATAGCATGAAAAAATAGCTCGACCTCGGGTTCGTTTTCGCGATGAATAGAGAATACGAATCCGGTTGAATCCATACTTATAGTAGACTGACATGGGTCCAGTTGACTTAAGGTCTTATGGTGACGATAGCAGTAAGTTTACAAAACTCCTTCGTCCAAATTTGATATCTGAATACGGATACGTGTAATGGGCGGCCCGATCTACATTGAATACGTGTATTTCGCCGGCCCGTGCCGAATACGTGGATTATGGCACACAATGCTAGATCCCAGCCGAGCTAAGCTTACGGAACTAGGAGCTTAGACGATGCCGCACCTACTTAATTACCGATAAATCCGAATGACATAGTGACAACGTCATTCTCCTTACTGATGATCAATCTACTATGAGGCGGGGGGGGTATCATGAATCCCAGTTCCATCTGCCTTCTATTCCATAAAACCATTTCACATAACCTACCTAGCCTCTGCCCTGCGTTGCCGATCTCTTAGCGGATTTGGAGATGACTGCTCACACGGCAGTCTTTCTCTGCCTTGCCTGCGTGTCTGCCTAGGTGATAAGTTCTATGGTGAATTATTCTTTTCCTTACCAATATTTACATAAGTCTTTTATTTCCTTACGCAAAATGCCGTCCTCATTGCTTTCAGAATGCTGTTGTGAATTTCTGACATGCAGTGGTTTTTCAGGTAGCCCTGGAGATGGGCTCAGGACGTCGTGATTGTAGCAGCGACATAGCGAGCCCGCAGGATGACCCTGTCAAAAATGACTCTCTCATTGGAATCCTTCCCCTTGAATTGAATAAGACCTCCGCCAAATAATATCATCATCTCTTGACTGACTTTTAAGGCTTGTCCGTCCATATAGCCAACCCTGACTGTCGTAGACGCAGTTGTAGCCCCTCTGAGATGTATTGATATCGAATCGCTCGGGTGCCATACTACAGAGCTGGTCGAATGCAAACTTTCTCATGAGACATCCAAAAAGCGTGGAGCCCAAGACACAAGGTCCAGTATCCTGTGCAGCGGGCACTTCTGTGGATATCGCTCATGTCCGAGCCACGTTTGAGAGGCCACATCGGCGGATTGGTTGCATTCGAGTCCTCCCAGCACTAATGTCTGGATTCAGTCAACTTGATATTCTTGACGAGTCTTTGTCTTGGTTAATCAACCCGATATCTTAGTTGCGCTCTATAGTGGACCGTTGAAAAGGATTGTTAGGCGGTGCCAAAGTTTGGCTTCTAGCTGTTTTGCCCCTACGGATTTGAAAAAATTAATAGGTTCTGAACGACATACTCGAGCCTTATGAAAAGTCTAGTTTTTTTAAGTCTAAGGGTCACCAGTTCCACCTGGTCAGCAAAAGTGATTTCCTGCTAGAAAGGCACTGGTCGAAAAGTCCTTGACTGCCGCCTCAATCTTGGCTATAACTTCTAAAACATGCTTTCCGAAAGTCGGGAAGACCAAGGTACATAGTGCAGAATTTCATTTTCGGCACGATCTCAACACATGCGCGGTGTTCATATGTGAGTGTTGGTGTGCGAAAAGACTGTTCGGGTTGGAATGATGCCTGCAAGATGAGATTAATCGTTAGTTGCGAGACAGATTTTATTGCTTGCCTTTTGGTTTCCACAACTCATGACCCTGGAAGAGTATACGAACACAACAATTCTTTTCGGAAATGGGAATACAGCCCTAAAATGGTCTGGCGCGCTGCGCCAAGGTGCGTGCTTGGAGATGTCACTGGCGCTCCATGCATATGATGCCACTTACTACGGGAGATATTGGCAGCTCATGATCATATCGATAATGTTATATTTATCAACGGGGAGTCGTGGTAATTGGAACCTGTGGATACCCATCTATTTTCTTATACGCCCAAATGCGCATGCGCTGTGCAGTGCTGTGTCCGCGGCCCGACTACCCTTCATCCAACCTGCTACGTCTGTTTGCTGCGTCGAGCAGAAGCTTGAACCGGTGTACTCCTGCAAGCGCTCTAGATGCCGCTTTAACATCTCCCATAACTTTTCGAACTTTTGAGCGGGGTCTCCGCGGGGGATGATAGGAATCCTTCGCCGTTGGCTATCCTGCGCCGTTGGAACGGCCGATCTGTTCCTTTGGAGGACGGATCCTTCGCTCGAGGGAGGGTAAACCGAAGAGCACCGGTTCTACATTAGCATCGGACTTGGCGTTAATGGCCTATCATGACTTGGCTTCCCAATGGTAAGGCAGAAATGGGAGCCTCAAAACAAGGCAATGATCTCCTGTATTCGATCAATCTGACATCTTAGTTACTTTTATTCAATTCATTTGAGCTATATATGCAGGAGTAGCTTTCTCAACATCCTAACAAATGGGTAAGGCGTAGAGGTCTTTGACGTTATCGTCGTCGGTGCTGGTGAGTGGACGGTTTCCGATATTTATTCTCTACCGTTAGCTTGCTGATAGTTCACACACGTTATTATAGTTTAATGGCGGCTCGTACATACTTGGAGCTGGCTTCTGAGACAAATCTCACCATTGTCGATGACAGCAGCACAATAAGTGGGGTCTGGTCTAAGGAGCGAATTTATCCCAGCCTGTTTGCTCAGATCAGCCACCCATTGTTCGAATACTCCTTCTGCCCGATGTCCAAAGATGATATCTCGCCTGATGACTTCGTCTCCGGAAAGACGATACACAATTACTTTGACAGTTTCGCCAGAGATCACAACCTACTGCCTAGGCTCCGCCTCCGGACTCGCGTGACCAGGGTCGCAAGGCGGCCAGCCGCCTCGGAAGGATGGATCCTCGATATCAAAGGTGGAAAATGCCTGATATGCGACAAGCTCATCTATACTACAGGAGCTAATTCTAGTCCTATTAGTCCCAAATGGCCCAGAGACAACTTCTAGAAGCCCGTAATCCACTCGCTTGAGCTTGGATCGTACTAAGAGTATATTTCGAGCAGTGTGCAGAGAGCTATATCGTGGGTCGTTCTAAGTCATTATACGACGCTGTTTACTATCTGCTATGCGAGGTTAAGAAGGTTAACTAGGTCATGCGTAATGGGCTATCCGGCCCGTCCAGCCTTTATGCCCCGACGTTCTTGGGGCTATGGAATATTGCCGACTATATCTTAACTCGGTTCGCCTCAAGCTTTAGTCTATGCATCATGTTAACATCTGGAATGCCTTACAGCTCTTTCTAACGAAATGCCCTCGGACGTGTGTTGATAAATATTTATTAGAGAATCTCTAACTACCTGTCCGTATCACATGCAGAATATTGGAAGATGCCGAATGCTGAGAAGTTTCGGCCGAGACTATATAGCGATGGACGAGTATTGTAGTATCAAAATCTGAGACTTAGCTGACGAACCCGTCATTCAGAGTATGCTGGGGAAGCGGCGGTATTGGTATTGCTACCGCCCCTGATTTTTGGAAAGTCTTTCATCGAGGCGATGTTACGATTTATTCGACGAAAATTGAGTGTCTATCGTATTACGACGTTGTTAACTTGAAGAACGGATACTCTGTAGCAACTGATATTGTGATTCATTGCACCGAATTTGATAAGCAAGGGATACGATACTTTTGATTACGAGCTCCTTACGGAGCTCGGTTTATAGTACGACACTAAGGTGTTCTCACGGTGGATAGTGCTAGACGAAAAGGCTAAAAGGGCCGTTGACGAGCTTCTTCCGTATCTTAAAACTGCCCCGGAATAATGTAACGACGTGAAAGCTACTGGAATGGCGGAATCAGGGTCTAATAGACGTTTTCGCCGTCTGGTCGTACCTGCGTTGGCGACACGGGACGAACGATTAATACTCTTTCTTGGGTATATTTATTCGGCGTTTATACTACCGGCGGCTGAACTCTAAGCGTTTTGGGGAGTTTCTTGGATATTTAGGTGTCGAGATCTCCCTTCTAGCAGCGCTTATACTTAAATAAATAAATTAAATATAAGGTTTATATTTAATTATTTAATTGATTTTTCGTACTATATTTAATTATTCAACTTATTTAATAAATAATTAATTAATTTAACTAATTTCCTAATTAGGAATTAAATAAAGCTATTATAAAAGTCTTTATAATACTAACTTATAAACTTAACCTTAATTAGCTCTTTTAATTAAGAAATTAACCTCTTATTTTTATAATACTATTACGAAGCTAGTTCTTAAAATATTAAATCTCTTTTAATATAGAGGATTTTATTAATAATTATTATAAAGTTAAAGTTAACTTTGCGAGGTTAAATACCCTTTTATAGTTTATTATTATTATAAGGATTATAAAAATATTAAATATAAGCTTATTTAACGTTAGATAGGTTAGCTAATAGTTATTTTATTATTAAATTAGGTTAAAGACTAGCTAAGAGATAATTTATAAATAATATTAATTAAGTTTAAGTACGTAGTTAATTACTATTTTTATTATTTAAAATATTAACTATTATTAGTATTACGAGTTTTTTATAATATTTTTTAGAATTATAAGGGTAGTAAAAGTAGTTTATAATTATTATAGCGAAGGAGGAGAACCTAGATAACGAGGAAAAGAAGGACTTATTATCTCGTTTATATACTATTTTTATTAATAATTATAGAGCTCTTTTTTCGTATTAAGTAGTTAGTAACTTTGCTTAGGTATATCTTACTTTTTTCTTAGCTATTTTAATCTTTACTTAGGATAAAGAATAATTATTATAATATAGAGTAAAAAGTTACTTAATATAGTATAATACTTATTAAGGACTTACTAAGTATTAATAATTAATAATTAAAAATATTTTTATAAGTTAAAATTATTATTAAAAAGTAGCTTTACCCGCTCTTTAAGTATATACTTAGACTAAATATAACGAGGGATATTATTTAAAATTAAAAATTAAAAAAGAGGTTAGGATATAAATTAATAACGGGCTAATTATTAATAAGGTAGTATTATTTATATTAATTATAATTACGATAGGGAATTGATATACCGGCGTTATAAATTAATATACTAGCGTCGCTCTTATACCGGCGTCGCTATTCTACTTTTTAATTAGTCTAAAAAAAAATTATTAGTATAGTTAAATTTTATTAAATACTTATAAAGTATCCTAAGCCTTTATTCTTTTACTCCCTTTACGCTTAAGTTATATTATTAAGCTTCGAAATCTAATTTATAATATTTACTTATAATAGTTTTTATAATTAGAGTTAGAAACGTTCCTTAGGGCTAATCTTAAAGTAATACCCCTATTAAGAAACTTCCCCCTCTATAAGAGCGATTATTAATTAATTACGGCCTCTTATTATTATCTAACTAACTATTATTATCTCCCTTTTTAAAAAGTAGCCGCCCTAGCGTTAGCTAATTCTATAAAGTTAATAATTTTAAAAAATAGCGCGACCTTATTACTAAGCTCTTAATTAATATATTATAAAATACGTAACTTTTTATAAATAATTACCTTAGTATAGAGCTTATATTATACTTTACTTACTATTTCCCTAAGGGAATAACGAAAACCTAGTAAACTACCCTCTTACGACTTTTTTTAAAATATAATCCCTCTCTCCCTAGCGAATAGTTTTAATAACCTTCCTATCCTATAATAAAGTAGTTTAGTAATACTCTTTAGCTTATTAAATAAGTTATTAAGACTAATTAATAGCTAATAACGGTACTACTTCGATAATAAGAATATATCCGTTAATAATAATAAATATAGGGTCCCTAAGTTAACTTATTACCCTATTTACCCCTATAGCTATCCTTTATTTAAAGCGAAGCGTCTTTTTAAACTATAACCTCTTATTATACTCTAAGTAACCGATCCTCTTCTCTTTTTATAACCGAAATCCTAAACTTATTAATTCCTAGCGATCTAGAGTAAACTTATAATACCCTCTTTAACTAAGTTAATAATTTTATAAAAGCTAATAGATTTAGTATTATAAAGCGGAATAAGTATAAAACTCGAGGCCGAATTATTTAATATACTTTTTAATATAATCGTTTTAATAAGCTTAGGCCTATATAAGGCGCTAGTATTTAATAATATAAGTCTCGTAAATACGGTTATAAATAATAAGTTATTACCAAGGCTTAAGAAGAGGATAAGTAGCTATTACGTTATTATTTAGACCCCTAGTATAATTAGTATAATTATAGCCCTAGCTTTAAAGCCTCTATATACCCTTTATATTATAAACTTACTAAAGTAATTAAGGATATTATTAAAACTATAAGCCGACGAGTTAGGATTTAGGCTCGCGATATACGTATTATTATTTAAAAATAGTTCCTAAAATCCTTATTTACTTAGCGAGATATTTATAATGCTAAGGCTCGTATAAACCGAGAGAAACTAGCTAAATACTTACTAACTATAACGTTAATTAAGCTATTTAATAAGCAAAATATCCTATACGTAGTAAAATAAGTAAATAATAAGCTAAACCGCCTTATTAGCCTTATTTAGACCTTTCTTTACTATTTCTAAATATAAAAGCGATTTTTTAAGGTAATTAGCTTTAATAATACTTATAATACTAATCGCTTTAAGCTCCCTCTTTTTTAAGTTATTAAATAGACCTACTTTAGATCTATTTATAACGCCGCGTTCGGCCTTATTAATAACGAGAGACTAAAGGGTTTTTAGTTTCTCTTAATAAGTATCTATTAACTTATAAACTAATACTTAGTCCGTTACCTTATTATTATTATTATAAATTACGATAAATAAATAAAGGCTATACTAAACGAGTAATTCCCGGATGTTTAATAATAACTCTATATTTACTATATTAACTCTAATATTATACTTAGGGCTAAATAAAAGTAAGTTAAGGACCGTAGCTATAGTAATAATAGTAATAGGTCTAATAACGAGGGATATTAGTTACTAATATAAGTAATAGCTACGCTAAGTAATAAGGATAAGGCTTATATTAATATACCTATTAATAAGCCCCCCCTTTATACGTATCGTGGGGTCCTTATAATATAAAAGCTTATTATTTTTACTAAGACTGAGCATATTTTTAAGAAAGCCTAGACTAAGCTTTATAAAAAGTTTAATAACTAACGCCTAATCCTCTAGTACCTCTACGTAATATACCTATTTTTAAGAGCATAGTAAGCCCGTTATTTTATTTAAAAATATTAAAACTTTAGTACTCGCGTTACCTCTAGTACTAAGTTAAGTAATAATAATATTAAGGGTTATTTTTTAAATAGTCTTAGTTACCTATATCGGCTTATCGACGTTATATAGGATATAATTAGCGATTAGGAGCTACGCTTTTACTAAGTTTATATAAAAGACGAGGTATTTATAGGCCGGGAGTATATAAGTACTCGCTTTAAGTACCTAAGCAAACTTTAAATAATACTTTCTTTAAAATATTTTATTTTAATTAAAATATAAAGCCGGTTTATAAAAAAAGTAATACTATTTAGTAAGAGGCTATTCTTAGACCCCCTCGGATTTTATAGTTTAGATTATATTATTTTAATTAAGCTAGGTATCTTATACTACTATAAGATCTATTTTAAAATATTAAATTTAGTTATTTTTAATAAGTAGGAGGTATACCCTTAGTAGCGTCTTTAAGAGACGTTTTTTTTAAATCTATACCGCTAGATCCTTAACCCTAAGATTACTATATCCCTCTATAATAGGCTAAAGAACATAGTATAGCCTATTTTATTATAACTAGCCTTATTTAAAAAAGGCCGGTTAACTAGTTAAGCCCGCACTACTTATAATAACTAAGGCATAAATAATAAAAAGCGAGGCCGCCTATTTAAAAATAAGAATAAGTCGACGCTAACTAGGCTTATAAAAAAAATAAGTTAGCTAAGTTAAAACTAAATATTAAGCTTATCCTAATAATAAATAAAGAGCTAGTTTAGCGTTCTTAATAAGGGGAGGATAATAAGGAATTATATAAGTAAATAGCTAATATAGCCTAGTATTTAGAAAAAACGGAGCTAGTAAGAAGTAGTTTATAGTAATAATAAATTATTATAACTACGTCAAAAGAAGTAGTTAGGCAGACGTTACTATAATTTACTTTCTATATATCTTAAGTATATAGTAAGAAGAAGCCTTACCTATTTAAAATTTATAAAAGCTTATATTACTAACTAATTTAAGATTTATAAATCTTAAATAGGTAATATAGTAGTTCTAAACGAGTACGTAGGTTATAGTAGTATTCTTATTTTTAAAAATCTTAAACTAGAGCTTAGGTTAGAGAGGATAGTAAGAATAACTATATTAGTATAATTACCCTTACTACCTTTATAGGGAGGTACTATTTTTTTAAACTAATTAAAAAGTAAAATAGTAATACCGGTATAAGAGTAACGCTAGTATATTAATTTACGACGCCGGTATATTAATTCCCTTATAATATTATAATTTAAAAAGCTATAAGATTTATTTTTTTTAAAAAAAGTTTATTAAATAACCTCTTTTATTTTTTAAAATAGTTAATAAGATACTCGAGACTTATTATTATTTTTTATAAATAGCTATAACTATTTTTTTTACCCTAGCCCTAGTATTTTATTATTTAGAAATAAAGTAGTTTAAGTACTATTTTTAACTTAGTTAATAGTTACTAGTTATTATTATTAAGAACGTCTTTAATAGGGATCCGTTACTTTAAATCCTTATAAACTTAACTAGTTATTAAGAAAGTATAGATCTATTTTTTTTTTTTATAGTAGTTTTTTTTGAGCTTTATAAGTATAAAAGATCGACCTTAATAAGATTACGCTTTTAAAGGAAATTATATAATATAGTATACTTTTTAACTATATAATATGCGTAATATACCTTAAGTACGCGCTTAACGTAATATAGTAATTTTAATATAAAAACCGCTATATAATTCGGGATTAGTAAGCTACCCTACTACTTATTAATAATAAGCTAAGTAATATACTTACGTAGTAGCGCTAATTAAAAAGGCTAATAATAAAGATTAGCCATAATAATTAGCTATAATAGTTAAAAGTAGCCCTTAACCGCAGAAGTTCTAAACTTTAATAATAATATAAAGGTTTTTAAAAAAAGGGCTAAATAAGCTAATATTTATTACTCTTTATACTAAAGTTTATAAAGATTCTTTTTATCCTTATCGCTTTTAATATTGCCTAAAGCTACTCTTTATTTAAACTAAATAAATTTACTAAATAAATTTACTAAATAAACTTATTAATATATAAACTACTACCTAAATAGCTAGTTAAATAACTAGTTAAGAAGTTAGCTAGTTAAAATACTACTTTAACGAGAACTTACTCTACTCTTAGTATATAGTTAGTAATTAGTAAGCTAAAGATACTTATTAATAAGTCTACCCCTCTTAGGCTAGGCGCCCTTAGCTAGCTTAACGCTATAATTATTATAATTAATATAAATACGCCTAAGGATTAGTAAAATACTTCTTAATAATATAAAATTTAACTAAGTAATAGTATAAATATTATAAATAGCCGGGCTAATATAGATATTAAAATTTAGTATATTAACGTTAATTTAAAAATTATACTTTATAAAGCTAAAAATCTTTTTAATATAAGCTATATTATAAATATTAAAGAATATATAAAAAGCTCTCTAACCCTTAATAAGAAGGAGTATATAATACGGGATTTAGCTACTTATATAAGCTAGTACTAAGAGGTCTTATATATATTAAAATAAGTATAGCTCGCCCTCTAAATAGCTAGAACTTAGAGGATTATGGGGGAAGGTTAGGAGCTATTAATAAAAAGAAAATAACGGTCGAGTTAGTTAATTATTTTAATTAGTAATTAGGTATAGAGCGCAATATACTTAGTTTTTTTTAATATATAATATATAGTACGGCCCCGGTAGATTACTCCGTTAGAGGGACTTTTTTTTTTATAAAGAGCGTTATATTATAAGGTATATCGAATTTTATTTTATATTATTATTAAATATTAGTACAAGCTCTTATAATAACTCTTTAAAAAGAGTAAATATATTATTTTTATTAGTTTTATTACTAATTTTAAAAAAGGTTTTATATTATTAAAATAATAAGTAAATAAATTTAATAACGTTTTAAAGCTTATTAATAGGGCCCTTTATACGCTAGAGGTTAAGATCTTTTTAAAGTTACTTAGTATTAATTAATATATTTAATTTTTATTTAAATACCTCTTTATTATTATTAAATAAAAAGGCCCTATTAACGAGGTTAAGGATATAACCGTAGTATTTAATCCTCTAGTTAAGAATATGTTTTTAAGTATAAGTATAAGATAATATAGGATATAAGTAACTTAAGTAAGTATTATTATTTAAAGTATTATTATAAATAATTACCCCGATTTAATTATTTAATTCTTAATTATTTATTATAAACTTTATAATCTAAGTAATATTAGCCCCGTTATAAGTATTATATTATTATTATAGAATAATAAGGTATTATATTTATTACTTAGTATAGTTTAAAAAATAAATAAAATAGTAATAATAATATTCTATATTAAAAAGGTTTATAAATTAAATAATAAGTGGACTTTTATTATTAACCTCTAGATCTCTATTCTAATTATATTCTTTTTTTAATAAAGATCCTATTTAGCTCTTTTTTTATATTTCTATATAATAATAAGAGTTCGTTAGTAATATTATAATTTAATTAATAAAAGAGGGCCTAGAAATAAGGATTTTAAAAAGTTATAAATAGGCTATTACTATTAATAATATACCTAATTACTAATTTTTTAATTTTTATTACTTAGTTTTTTATAATAATACTAAAAATAAGTTTTTATTTTTTTAGTATAGAGTTATATTTTAAGGATTTTAATAAATATAATAATTTATTAAAGCTTAGATTTATTACTTAATATTTTAATTTTAAATAAGTCGTTACTAAGCTTGTAGCTACTATTTTAAAATAAGTAATAATACTTATTTTTTTATAATAATAATAAAACTAAAAAACTTTATTTTAATTATTTTTATTATAAATGTTTTAAATAAAGACCCCCTCTAAGCGGATTTATAACTTCTTTAGCTTTGCGCCCTTTTATAATATTAAATTAGTATTAATAAAAATCTTCTTTTTTTAAATTGCTTTTAAAAGGGCGAGGAGGTTATTATAATTCTTAAAATTAGTTAATAATACGAGGCTAGCGTTAGTTAGGGTCTATAATTATAAAATAATCCGAAATAGTTATTATATACTAAATATTATATGACTTATTCTTAATTAATTAATTACGATATAGCGAATTAATTAATATATAATTTAATTAATTTTAATAATAATTATAATAATTATAAAGGGTTAGAAGTAGTAGTACGTAATTTCGTTAGTTTTATTAATATTAAAAAAAGGAGGTATTAGTTAATTAGTATAGGTTTTTTAAATTCCTAGATATAGTAAAATATTAAATCTAATATTTTATATTACTTAGGTTTTTTTTTATAATAATTATTAATAATCTATTTAGTTAAGTAATATAATACTAAACTTATAATTATAAATAAGGAGTCGTAAGTTCGAATCCCGCTATAAGTATTTATATTCTTAATTACGAACTTTTATAAAGCGTAGTTAGAAATATTAATTTTTAATTAGCCTAGCCCCGGATTTTTTTTTATACGATTTTATATTTAATTAAATATATTAAATATAAGGCTTTATAATATTTAATTATTTAACTTATTAAAATTCTTATATTTAACTGTTTATTTAATTTATTTGTTTAATTGATTTGAATGGGTATGTGCGCTGCTTTTTAGGGATGAAACGGAGTTTAAAGCTGCGACTTTTAATGCGTGGGCGAGGAAGAGATACCTCGAGTAGGGCAGGAAACACTTTTATTTTATATACGACTATATTCCGGTATGCTATTAATTTCTTTTAGAGCTTGTTAATACCTTAGGCTAATATCGAGTGTTTAGTATATCGATATAGTGATGAAGGACTTGGTTCTTAATCCCTTTTGTAAAAGCAGTGTCTTTGAGGAGTAGTTTATTAGATATAAGCTAAGCGATTGTTCTACTATCCTAGATGAGTACCGAGGAATTCGGTAGGAGAGAGTGGAACGAGAAGAGACGAATGGATTCGCAAAAGGGGTCGCAAAAGGGCTCCCGACTGGCACTACAAAGGTGAACGAGCACTCTACAGCGGCTTGATAAAGACATTAGCTTAAGACTTGACGTCTAAGGTAAGATACCTTATATCACATAGAATTGAAAATAATGGCTTTCTATATGCCAATTTGGATCATAAATACTCTCGTAGTCAAGTACAGCTACTTAATTAGAGCTTTCCACGTTACGTCTTTGATTTATATTTCTAAAGTACCTTAGCCAAGCTAATGATATTGTATCAGTGCACGCCTCCCAGTAACTTTCGGAATTGATCATATGCCAAGTCTACTTCCTAAGGCAAGGCCAATGAGAGGTCAAGTACACTACGCCGTACTTTCTCAATTAATTTCAACTGAGATGATCACCGTTAGGTACAAACAAATGGTGATTAGCCCAATTAGCCAATCGGATACCTTCTTCGGTCGAAGACGGACTAGCGCGGCAGAGCTACAATGTGTCAGCGAATGAAAACTCGCCATCAATCCAAACGGACCCGAGTCTTGAGTCCTTTCTATGGCCAGTGCATCAAGTGGGTCTCCTTAAGCGTCCGTCTCCGTCCCGCATCCGTCCTCCGTGTTGTTCACCAGGTCTCGGGGGAGTGTCGTATAATTGGGCAGGTCCTTCTTCTCGAACTCCGCAAATTCACACCCTCCATTTTGCTGGGCCTCGTGCGCTCTGCATTCAATCAAGCCAGCCCTCTTCTCTACACCCATCGAAAAATACGACGCAGATTTCACACTTCCATCTACAAGGCCTCCGAACATTCCCCAATATGAACAACGAGCTCGCGTTATCGGCTCCAAACGGGGCAAATGCCGAGAAGGATGCAGGCGCAACAAATTTGAGTACCTTACCGACGGATACCCCGAACACTCTGGCAACGGCAACAATGAAGGCACCTCAATTGACAAGACCAGTCCTTGTAACCTTCATGGATGGAAGGTAAGCAAGCCCCCACGACAATCACAACTGGGATACCGATCCTGTGCTTGCACTCAAGCTACTATGTCCGGGTTTTACTCACCCAGTGGGCCGTTGCCTACGCTGGCATGCTCTCCACGACTCTCCTGTTTGCTCTCGACAACAAATTCGCCCCCAACATCCAGCCAGCCATCATCAACGACTTTGGCCACCTCTAGCCTCTATCATGGATCGGCACTGGCTTCGCCCTGGGTACCATGTTCGTCCTGCTCTGGGGCAAGGTCTACGGAGTCTTCAACATCAAGTGGGTCTACATCTTCAATATCTATCTGTTTGAGGCAGGCAGCGCGCTCTGCGGCGCTGCCCCTAATAGCGAGGCCTTAATCATTGATCGTGTCATCGCCGGTGTCGGTGGCTCAGGCATGTACTCGGGTACTCTGACCTACGTCTCGGTCCTGTCCAACGAACAGGAGAAGCTTGCATATCGTGCTGGAAGTACCGTCATTTGGGGTGTCAGTAGCGTTCTCGGTCCTGTGGTAAGCATGCGAAGCCCGTCACTGCCTTCACAGGCAATTGCTGACCTCTGTTGTCTTTCCTAGGTAGGCGGTGCCTTTGCAGCGAGCAGTGCCCCCTGGAGGTGGGTAAGAAAGAAAATCATCTTGATCACCTGCTGGGACGGTAGAACATGCCTACTGGCCAACATTCAGACATTTTACGTTAACCTGCCTGTCGGCGCTGCATTCGCTCCAGCCTACTTCCTCCTCTTTCCAAGTGTCGACCCTCACCCCTCCAACTGAGTGTGGTGTGCTCCGTTGCGCTGCTCGTAAGTCGAGATGGCCCAGTTGGAATCGCGCAATATATATTAACACATTCGGCAGAAAGCTAAGCTCGGCGGTGGCAAGAAGTCAGAAGCGCTGGTAGCGGCGTAGGATGAAGCCAGAATCACGGTGCGCTTGGAGAGAGTCATATCACTATGCTGGCCTCCTAGGAGAGGCGATGAAGTTTTGAAGGTCCAAGGATCATCACGTTGAGATTGTAGGAAGGTGTCAGGCCTCGCCGGTTAAGGGATAGCTTCAGGGGGCATGAGGAGGGGGACCAAGCAACAAAGGAGCAGCTCAGGCATATATAGAGCGCTGGGAGTACACCCCGAGGAAAGGGCAGATTTCAGCATTCATCTTCTAGACCCTAACAGCAGTTGGCCTCTGTGAGCTTCTTCCCTGTGTCGTACACTTATTGACAGAAGGCTCAAGGTCCCAAGCTCTTGGAGAAAGATCTCTTTTTGTGCAAGATACAAAATGAAGATACATGCAAATGCAACATGTAAACCATCATCATTTATATTAACGCCGTGCATACATTCAATAACGGGCTCCCTACATGTGAGCTCTATAACCCAAGTATCTAAGCCTTCTATACACACTGCTTGAGAACTGATTCCTAGATTGAGTAAACTCATAAAATCAGCATCATTTACCGGATCTGGGAATACAAGCAAGTGATCTCACTTTCGGTTGTAACATGGATGTAACGGTTGCAAACTCATGCTATCATCAAATTTTGATAATTCAAATAGCTGCGAAGTACCATTCTCCATTCCAGCGATTTGCCATATTTCCCTACCAAAACCAGGTATTGACTGAGGTGTCTAGAGAAAACAATATGAAGGACACGAATAGCCTACTACAAAGCAACTAAAACTGCTAGCCCCTGCGGGAAGACAGACGCAAAGCCCCCGTTCAAGTCACCCCACGAAGGTCCACTATTGAGTCTTTCATCTTCTTCTCGAGCTTCCCTCTCCTTTACAGCAGATAGTGTGTCCTGCCACCCTAGAATCCCCCTCTTCTCATCAAAGTCCACATAAGTAAGCTTTGGCGCCATAACACACAATCCAGCAATATTCTTTGCAAGAGTGTCAAGGCCCACGATGGGCGTCAGCCATCGCTGCACAAAGTAGGCCTTCCAACCGTCATAAGCCTGTTGCCTCGTGAGATCACCCACGACCTTCACAATGACCCAAGCATGGTCGACACGAGCGTTTTGATGCTTATCCCGCATCGCATCGCGCAGCTCAAAATCACTCGGGCTTTTATGGAAATGCGTGCCGAGAAGGGCATTAATTGTATTTGCGAGTGTAACGGCGTCTTCCATTGCGGTATTGCCACCGAGAGCCGAGTTTGAAGTAACCTTTGTCATGAGAACATGACGTATCAGCCCCGAGTACGAAAGACATACAATCATGCACATCAGATGGCAATCTTACCTTATGGACAGCATCTCGAGCCAAGACAATTCTCCCAAAAAACAGTTCTCCAGTGCGCCTTCCTCGAGGGAAATTACTTGTGCCTTGAGGCGCCTCTTTCACAACTCTCCAAAGACAACGGTCTCCGTGACAGAGTACTAAGAGATCTTGCTGACCAGAGCCTTCGTATCAGATTCGGTGAATCGCCGACGTGTGGGCCAGGTGCAGTGCTGTTCCACGGGCAACTTGTTGTGTGCAATGATCTATATCCACTTCGGCTGGCACAGGAGCAGGAAAGAGGACTTGTCGTTTGAGGTAACTTCCATGTCGTAGAAACTCACACCAGGTACGGGAGACCATGCCATGACGATGGCATTGTACTGGGTTACCATTGCTTTGTAGGCAAGTTGTTAGCTGCCTTTGGTTTGTTGATGGTCAAGAAAGAGCTTTTTATCTACCTCGCTTCTCTTTAACTGTAATCATGCCGGGATTGGCCGCGTTTGCCTTGTCCCACATGATTTCGCGAACCTTGGAATGAACACTGTCTGCACCAACCACTACGTCCCTAACGAATTCACGCCCATCTGCCAGTATGACGCGAGTCTTGGAACTTTCTTCAATAATCTCCTCAACGCGTGCTTTCTCGCGTACTTTAGAACGATCTGGCAGCCTTTCATACAATTTGCGTAAAAAAACCTGCCGATCCAGGGTCCTAGTATCATAGCCGGCGCTATATCTCGAAATCACCATGTCTTACTATAGCCAGTTTGTCTTCCGCGTCATCGGATACCTAGCGACTCGCCTTGATTCAACCACTTCTCGTGTTTGCACCCGCGCGGAGTGGAAATGGGGGCAGTAGCCTGCACCATGGATGCATTGCACTCTTCCAGGTGGCCCCCTTATTGGCCATGGCGTTCCATCTCAGCCTTATGTCAATTTTCCCTCCCAAATATACAGGCACAACGTAGTCATCTGCGAAAGAAGCAAGAAAGTGGGTAGTTGCATCCCTCATACTTGGCGGTGTCGTCGCTTCAGCCGTGCACTTCTATACCTCGGTCGGCTCGCTACTCACACGAGATATCGACGCATCGATCCTGAGTCTGTTCCTTCCGGCGCGAGGCTTTGAAGACTCATACGAGTCCATGATCAAAAAGGAGGTTACATCTGTCGAGTACACTGCCCCTGGAGAATCTTCACCTGTTCTCGCAGGGGGATTGGATTGTTCTATGTCTCACCACTATTGTGTTTGCGCATCTACTTCTCTCGCGAAAGGATGGGGTTTCAAATGTTGGAAAAATGAAAGTGAAAGGGACGGTGTCTCCGAACGAGTCTCAGGAACTGATTTATCTCACTGTGGCGACTGTAGTCTTAGGGCCAGGGGCGGCGGGGTCATTTGTGTTGGCTATTCGAGGCTAGAATATGAATATTATTAACTGTCAAAATTGTCCGATAGGTTCTGGAACCTTCAAGTCCTTAATGAAACCCATCGCTAGTCTAGATCGCTGAGCACCAATCCTACGTCATCGGCAATATCCAAACCTCGGTCGCAGAGATGAGCCATGACTACCTATTCCTTCGTCCAACAGAGTAGGTCAGAAGTTGGAGATTCACTTCAAGGCTCCAAACGGGGAATGGACGCTCTTTAGTATGGCGTTACCCATAGAAATACGTCAGATGACATCTCCAAGTACTGCTTAGCTTGAAAGCTTCGCTCTACAACTGTCCTGAGAAAATCACTGGTAGTGAGGCTGACGAATGGCGCCTCGAGAATAGCCATGTTGGATGCGTCTCATTCCCGCTCGGTCTTAGGCGTCGGTGATTGTTTTGTTAGCCGCTTTATAAATCAAATATTTTCGTTCCACTTGAGAAATAAACAAAAGGGCTTCGGGATGGCAAGCCAAATTTTCTATATGTTAGTTCTTGGACTAAACCTTTCGCCCGCCCGGACAAGTACTCATTATATCATATGATACTTCTTTCTAAACTAAAATCTTAAATACTAAACAAATTACGACGCTAAAAAGGTCAATCAAGTTTTATTTAATCCTTTTATCTATAATAGCTTTCTAACTAAAGTAAATAATAATGAAATAATATTAATTTATCTGTAAATAATAGAGCATATTATAGTTGATCTGTCAAGAAGTTATTGTTCAAAAAGAACTTGAAACCTATCGATAAACTCATATTATAAATAATAAAATAGAAGAGGCAAATGATTGAAAATATCTAGGGCCAGTAACAGCCACGAAGACTTCTACATTCAGACAAAATAATCCCTCTACAACTAATTTCATAGAATGTAGCCATCAGCTTTTAGAGCTATAAGTTTCTAAAAGGAATGCCGCCGCTTTCTCTGCCACTGCATAGACTGTGCTTAGTATGTTCCCTCGCGGTATGATCGGGAAAATACTAGCATCGCACACACGAACGTTCGTTGTGCCACGTAAGAGAAGCTCCCCATCTACAACACCGCCTTCAAAGTCTTCCTTCATCATTGCGCATGTGCCACAGAGGTGGTAATTTGTAGCACCAAAACTTCGAATATTCTCCTTGATCTCTGCCAAAGTCTGAGGTGCCGCTGCTGTTGGGAGACGGTTGCCATCCGTTCTCAACAAGCCACTGAGCGCGTCCCTAGCCAACAATTTATCAATTTGCTGAACATGACGCGCGAGGATTTCAATGTCGAGGGGATTCGAGAGATAAGCGCAGTCTATTTTCGGCTGATCATGCCAATCCGCAGTCTCGACGTGACAAGATCCTCGACTATAGGGGTGAGCCAGCATAGCTACTATGGTCATGTAGTTACCTGGGGCTGGGTTGGCGCGGCTGGTGTATCTTTGCACCCGTATCATGAATACGGTTGCGCTCGCCTCATGGTCGTCGAGGATCATCCGATTGATGAATTCGTGATGTATCTTGGTAGCTTCATTGCCGACGTGAGGTGAAAGTTGGAGAAGCTCCCTTAGCTCTTTCTCTTCGTTTTGCGAGTTGAAGAGCTGCAGAGGCCAATGAGCGAAACTGTACGCCGCCCCTTCCGCCAGAGGCCCAGTTCTTTTCTTGTCATACTCTGCGCGATGAGCTGCAGGAACTTTGGGGTCTCTGAAGTTGACGTCGATGGTTTCAATTTCGGGCTTCACCTCGACACTTGGTCCAAAGTTGAGATGGTCTTGAAGATTTTCTGAGATGCTGCAGTCAGCATGAGAGACAACAGAACATTGAATGCTCCTTGTCAATGTATGCATGCACTTACCTCCAACACCAGGCAAGTTCACTAAACATTGAATACCCAAAGGCTCCAGAATCTGTTGATCACCGATTCCGGACTGCTCAAGAATCTTGGGGCTACCTAGGGCGCCTGCGCAGATGATGACTTCCTTATTTGCTCTGACTAGCGATGATTTGTGCGCCTTCTCATAAATTACGCCAATCGCACATAACTTTCCCTCATCGGTGTGAGAATCACCTTCAAATACGATCTTCTCGACCTCTGCTCCGGAGATGACGACAAGATTCTTCCGGTCCAAAGTCGGTTGGAGGTAAGCGTTCCCTGCGAAGCTTCTCACGCCTTGGCCAGCGCAGCTATCGATTGCATTGGTGGTTGTGAAACCCCCAAGCGCTTCGCCAGATGGGCCATCATGATCAGATCTTGCGCCCAAGTCGACGAATACCTCTTCCCAGGCATTCTGTAGGGCATTCAGCTCTTTCGGATAAGATGCTTGTATAGGCCCTTGGCTTTGACGGTCCTGATCTGACATGTCTTGAACCTGCTCTGTATGAAATGCGCGGTAGTAGTCTTTGATCTCCTCCCAGCTCCATCGCTCATCTCCCGATATTTCGGCCCATGCCTCATGCATAGCTTTGTTTGGGAACACTAGACTATGGGAGTTGATTCCACTGCTTCCTCCAAGCATCTTGCCTCTTGTATGCTGGAAGACACGTCCATTCATGCCAATCTGCGGTGAGGATTCTGAGCACCAATCATAGTTCGGATCTCCAAACATTCGTCGACTCAGCAAGGGTGTCGTGACCTTTTCTTCGTTGATGTTGTTGCTTCCAGCCTCCAGTAGGAGAACTTTTAAGTCTTGCCGAACGGAGAGTCGGGAGGCAAGCACGCATCCGGCTGTGCCACCGCCGACGATGATCACGTCAAAAACCTCGACCTCCATCTTTGCAGGTAATGGGCTTAACTATGTTTTACTCATTTACAAAAGCGTTGGGAAGTCCATGAGTACTTAAGTTCTATGGCCATAAGATTCGGCATCTCAAAAGTCTGTGTTTGACGACACCACTTTAGGCAGCAATGTCAATTGGGGCACTTGATTGGCTACAAATATCAACTTGATATCTCATAAGGGTGTTGATGAAGAATCCATCATTCCAAATCAAGAAGGTCGCACTGCACGTTGTCAGCATAGGTCACCGACACGAATAATCCCTGCATGTCTAGCGGTATATATGACCACATCGATTCTGTAATCACAGCAATCGCACGCAATGAGAGTTGACTCCATCTATACTACTAGGCTATCTACAATTGTTCATCGCACAAGTCAATGTTGATCTGTTAAGGAAGGTAACAGTGCCCATTACAGATCTGCCAGCTGGGGCATCGACGCGATAAATGGGCTCTCTTGCAGCGGAATTCATCCTTTCCTGTCTCCTACCTATCTTAGTCTTTGGACCAAGCCTTTCGCCCGCCCAGCCAAGTGCTCGTTACATTACATGATAAAAGTGACAATGGTTCCCCCTTCCAGTCACCTATCGGATCAAGGACGATGAAATCAGCTCGTTTTCCCACTTCGAGGCTTCCGACCATATCCTCCGCAAAACAAGAGTAGGCGGCGCCGATATTGGTAGCCGCCAATGCTTGGACGAGCGTGAGCTTGAATTCCGCATTCATCGTTTCCTCTCCATACGGCCTATTATAAGATTTGCGAGTTGTTGCGTTGAAGAGATTATTCCACGGCGAGTGAGGAGCTGTAGGCGCATCGCTACCAATAGCGATCCTAGCCCCGTGGTCCGCGAACTCTCGATATGCAAAGGCTCGGCTGCATAGTTTTTGTCCGATGAGCGGTGTCCAGTCAATGTTCTGGACGGGATCGCAATGAACGGGCTGTATAGAGGCAGTGATGCCCAAGCGCCCAAGTCGCTTAGCATCTTCGGGCTTGGTGACTTCCAAGTGTTCGATGCGATGCCGTTTCCCCGTCGTACCCAGCGCCTCCAAGCCGTTGATTGCCAGAGTCACCGCCTCATCTCCAATTGCATGCATTGCGACTTGCAGCATGCCATCATCTGCCGCAGTCAGGACCTTGCTCAGAGCTTCTGCGGTCCAGTAGGGCTGTACGGACTGTCCAGTCGACTTGTACGGTTCAGAAATGGCAGCTGTGCATGAGTCAATGACGCCGTCGCACATGAGCTTGATACCCGCAACCCGAAAATCTGGAGACGTCAAGATGTTGTACGCTTCGTGAAGCTGACTGACACGTCTCACTTGCTCTACATCAGACTCTGTCGAGCCCGTCGGTGAGACCAAAAAGTGGACGGCCAAGCGTAGGTTGAGCTCTCCCTTCTCATAAAGCTCTCGTAGTAAATTCCAGTAATCTTCATCGACCGCCATGTCAATGGCCGAAGTATAACCAGCGCGATTGTATGTTTCTATGGCTTCCCGGAGTCGGTCCAACTTCTCTTCGTGCGTCAAGCATTGTGTCAAAAACGGCCAAATAATGCCAAGGACAGCAGCATCTTCGAACAAGCCGGTTGGCAAGTGATCAGCAGTGCGATGAACTCGACCGCCAGGTATGTCCTCGTCGGGGATCTCCAATTCTCTCACAGCGGCCGCGTTACACCATACTGCATGTAAGTCATGCGACTCAATATAAATCGGACGTTCGCTGAGATCGTTCAGCATTTCGCTACTGACGAGACTTCCAGTGGCCGATTGCTTCCAGGCCTGAAACATCAAGCGTTGTGCATCTGGTTCCTCTTGTGCAGTTGATTGAATGACCTGTCGAATCTCCTCCAGGTTCGCACAATTTCCAAGAGAAATTTTGGACAGGGAAATCCCGAATTGGAGTAGGTGGGTATGCCCATCGATGAACGAAGACATGATACCGCGCCGTTGTAGGTCCACTATCTGAACTTCTTCTCCATGGCGTAAGAAGTTCTGGATGGAAGCGTCGTCAAGGTGGCCAATGTGTTGGATAGTGTGGTCATTGACTGCCAAACAGCACAGTTCTCGTGCTTCCTTAGCGTCTGTGGTGATCATGCGGGCGTTCTGGATGAGAGTCCGCATGTTGAGGTACCTCGTGCACTGAGAAACAACATTGTCAGTAACTGGGTAGGATGCTTAGCTTCGGAAGGTCTTACCACTTCAGCTTCGCCCGAGTCTCGTGATCTGGAGTTTGTGAGTGTTTCTGCGGACCATTGAGGTGATGGGAAGGTGAGGAATTTATTAGCCCTGGTTGGGGCTGGTACAAACCCTGTCCCATCTGAGGCAATAACCGAAATCTGAAATGAACTTCTCTATTCTCTATTCCCGACTCGCCGACTTCGGGATCTCGTAGCAAGGTGACTTGGTTACACGAGGTGGCGACACATAGTTGGAAACTCGAATGTGCTAGGTACTTGGTTGAATCCCTGCTCATCGCTGAACTGAAATTGTGGGCCGCGAAACTGTTTTAGGCAAGTTTAGGAGCCAATCACACACGGCCTTCTTATCGTCTCAGCTCAAGTACTTCTCTTACTTACTGAGCGGCTAGATTCCTCGCTTCGTGCCATACTGTTATTTTTTGTGACCCTGATTCGGTAGTCAATGATATCTCAAGGCTGAGATGTAGCTACCATAGCCCTTGAAATTTCGCGTGTCAATTTGGATGTGTCACTGATCTGAAGTGGGCGTAAAACGTTACCCGGCTGCGTCGGTTCTGTCCAACGGCTCATCTCGCAATCTGAATTCCCCCTCCGCCTGTTTCTCGCAATCTCTTGGTCATTTGAGCGATTTTTCAGCGGGTCTTCTGCCTTGAGGTTTTGTCGTGTTTAGCAGTCTCGCAAGACGCATTCAGTCGCGGTCGGCAAGGCTACGGAATCAGGGTGAAAAGAGCTTTGGAATAGGATTACAGAACTTGTTGTATTTCAAGATGGGCTTCTCAACTCCAACATAGTGCGTAATGCAAGTCTACAAGGGGCATTGACTCTCTTTCCTAAGCTCTTCCAGAGCCCTGAATACCCCCGCCTTCAGCCACAATCTTTTGGTATCTTACGTGCGATGCAATCCGAATGCGTCGTCCCCAGATGAGCAATGGGATGAAGAGCAAGCAAACAGAACTAGATATGCAGCCACAAATGATACAAATATTAGTGAGACTCATTGAGCTAAGCCATGGTACTATGGCAAAGGGTATTCCAATAGTCCCCGCGTTGCGGATGAACGTAATAAACACAAAGGAGTCCGCGGTAGCCTATGCCAGTCAGTTAATCTATAAATTCAACCCTGCTCCATGGCATCCTTCTTTACTTAGAGTGACTCACGGCTTTATAGGTGTCAATGATGATCGTGAAACTAACGTCCATCATGGAGCTCATGCCGAAAGCAAAACAAGCACCACCGATACTCGGATATATCCAGTGCATCCCCTGAGAGACTCTATGATTAGCCACTTTATTCACAATCCTTTTTTGATCACGCAATACGATTCATACTGACCAAATCTGCCGTAACACCAAATATTATCATTCCGGCGCCCATGATCAACGCAGGTAGCAAGAGTACGTAGAGTCTCATTTCAGGCTCAAAGATACCCCGGTTCTTACGTGCGAGCCTGACAACAACGTAGTCACCAAATATCCCGCCGTACAGACTGCCGATCATGTTGCCAACGAATGGGCCGATGAGCATGAGACCTACTCCAGCTGTGTTGAAGTTGTATGGTGGAGCAGCGAAAACGATGGAGTTTAAGCTTGTCAGCGCGACCAGAAATGCCACTGCATTGGCACATTGGATTGCTGAGAAGAGTACGTGCGGAAAGAGGGCCATCTTGAAAGGCGCAATGTAGCTGGAGACCAGTGGTTCGTCCGTTGTTGTGGACAAACGCATACGTTGACAGTACGTATTGGGCAGCGGGGTCGACTGCTCGGCTCGTTCGATGTCTTGAATGGGATGTGTCTCGAAAGGTTTAATATCGCTGGCAGAGTTTGCTGCGGCTGAGCCACACTTCGTTTCGTGCAGTTTATTCGCTATTTCCTCCAAATCTGGAGTTTCAGTGGTTGAGGATCCAACAGAGATGGGCACATACTTCGTCTCTTCGAAGAAAAACAAAAACAAGAGACACAAAAGCGTCAGGAAGATCCCGACAGTGTAGTAGGCCCATCGCCAACCCATCGAAGCTGCTTGGAGACCGGCGAGTGTGGGGGCGAGAAAATTCCCGATCATGACGGCGGTGATGTAAAAGCCGTTTGCTAGGCCTCGCTGATGAACGAAAAAGAGATCTGCAATCTGGCAAGAAAAATAGCGCGTTAGTGAACTTCAATTACCATTGGTGGTCAGTGAGGGCATATGTCAGTCATACCGTCATCTCGGCTATGGTCTCGTTTGTTGATCCAGCCAAGCCATAGAGTAGGTTCGTGATATACATCTCGGGAACCGTACGCAATCGGCTGCTCCACCAGGATGTTGCAGCCATTATAGCGGTCGATAAGATATATGTGGATCGTCGACCGTACTTCTTTGTGAAGGGAATGATGCAAAGGCATCCGAGGGCGAGTCCGACGACATTGAAAGAAACACCTGCGTTGAGTTCGTCGTAGGTCATATCCAGCTCGACCTTCATTTGCTGCCAGAATATCATCTGCATAGTCATTCTAAAGGCCGAGTGTCATTGGAATAGTCGCTCAATCGATTCAAATGCCCCATTTCTTGGGGCATAGATGGGGGAGAGGGGTCTCACGCAGCGAAGACTGCCACAGTGACAGCAAGCACGAACATAGTGTTGACGCATTTTCGGGTCAGGTTCCAATTCTTGAATATGGTCAGTTTGTCAGTTGACAAAGTCGTAAACTAACAGAGAACAGCCGCAAACGACTTACCAAGGGGTCATTAGGGTCTGAGGTTGGGGTGGGAATTAGGACTAGAGTGGATTCTTCTTCTATGACAAACGATGTCAGTACAGCAAGTTGAGACAGCGGAAGGTCAAAAACTGACCTGACAAAAGTCTGGCACTGCCAGGAGGAAAGTACGTGTCTCCTTGGGGCCCATCCATGGTGCTGCTTGTTGACGAGTTTCTAACCGCTTGAGATTCTGTGTCGGTGTTATGCACGAGATGGCCGTAGAATGAAACCTTCTCAACATGTGCCATGTTCGACAATCACAGTCCACGGCAATGCACTCTTTTGAATATCTCAGAACTCGGAGCCCAAGTATCCATTTTCCTCGTTAGAGCTTTAACTGGACGTCCACTTTTGGCTGCTGAATGATAAGCACTAACTCCACTCCAACTCGAATCTGGGGTATTAGCTAGCGACGACCCGCTTCCGAGAAGGGCGATAAAGAGCAGACACATCATTGGCTCTTAGACATACCCAAAGCGGTTTAACGTAGCCGGCGAACCCTTGTCATTTTACCCTGGGGAGCGAGCTAAACAGAATTTCGATAATTACCGGATCGTGCCAGTGTAACTATGGGGCAGTCGAACCTTCCAATCCCATCTACTAATAATCCGTGTCTTGAGCCCAGGAGACGGTCGCTCAAAAAAGTGCAATCTCCACATTTCTCCGTCTGGCTTGCTCATCAATGTCGTAATCATCGTCGTCCACCTCCCAAGCCTCATCCAGCATGCGTGCAATGTTATCTGCGTTCGCGGTTTTGCCGTAGGGTTGACAAATACCGCAAGCTCGGCGCAGCGACTCCATCCAGGAGGGCCGATGTCGCAAGATGGCAACTTCTAGCCGTGCCGCGACATATGGATATAGGAGCGAGTTAGATGTGAGCAAGTGGCTATACTCGGGTCGGTTCCGCGTGTCGCAGAGGGCATCAATGGCTGCCACAAGGCGACCGACGATGACCTCCGTGGATAGAGCTAGCGATGAAAGACATGGGTCTTTCCTCAGTCGCCGACCAGTGAGGATCCCCGCAAAGCGATAAGCTTCCCATAAATGGATTTGAGGTATTTCTCCAACCTCTCCTGGCCATGAAATGAAGGCACTTTCTGAAGCTTCAGTCTGAATAGACGAGAAGATATCGAGAAGTGACCTAGGCAAACTAGTAACTCCTTCAATCCCATCATCCTGCTCCGTATTGTTGGATCTCTTGCCCTGTCTCAATCTCTGCCACAGGCATAGTGTCGTGGTGGAACGGCCACGTACGAACGTCGGTATGTCCATCACTGCCATGAGTTCAAGGGGAAAGTGGGTCTCAGGATTGTCTAGGACTGCAGACGCGTGCAAACTCCCTCCTAGGCCATAGACGGTCATCATTAGTTCCAAATGAACCGACCACGGTGTGCCTTGGAAAAGCTGTGTTGGTTGAAGGGAATTGTTAGAATATGAACGACAATCAAATACAGGTCCTTCAGGGGTGCTCACATTAAGCGTGCAAATGAACAGCCCGGCGTACATCACTCCAACGTTGATGCTGCCGTCGTGATTCTCAAGCTGTTTACGGAATAAATGTAGCCCGCGAACGTAGTACTCCTCGAACAGTGATGAAGGATTGTCTGGGCTTGACACATAGAGATGGGTGGCTATGAGAATAGAGCAAAGGGCTTCCGAATCACTCGCAAGGCGGCGAAGGCTTGTTCGGAACCAGTCATCTCGATGAGTTGAATATAGATGAAAGATGGTGCTTTGATCAACTGACAAGTTTTGTTAGCCCAGAATTCTTTCAGCTCATGGAAAATATTCGTCCGCGGCCTTGAGTTGACAATTATTTGGATCGAAGACGTACATCTTTCGTAAAGATCTCGATCCTGCTCTGTCCAGCCCGCCCATGAAAATCCCTCTAGTGAGGACACGGGGGATTGCAGGGACGTCTGGAAGGCCTCGTTCAATGTACTGGGCATCTCAGGACCTGGAGAGCGAACCACTGGAAACGGCTTTGAGGGGACATTTGTGTTTCCTATGAAATTTCGTTCTGGTGGGATTGCCAATTCGAATGACGAAACTATTCCACTAGATGGCTTTCTGGACGTGCGCCTCCTCGGCCTTGTCGTCTCTGTAGGCTCGATATGGAGCGTTTCTGACGGTTCCAGCGCTCCTGTATACCGGCGCCGTGAAGCGATGCCGGCATCCCAACGCAATACGACATTGTAGCCTGCACATTTGATACCCTGACCGAGACATTGCAGACACTCGGGTTTGGTCTCGTCGCACTTGCAATGGCGCCGTTTGCAAGTCAGGCACCCGCTACGGGATCGTGACATGTTTGCAGAGAGCTTGCTCTCAGGTTATCGATGTTGGGGTGGCTTTGCTGAAAGAAGGAGTCTTCGATGGGGAGGTGTCCAAAGGAGTTGAGTCAGTCGCTTGACGTCACAAGTCGGCTCGTGTACTGCGGTAAACCATGGGACTGCTTAGTAAGACGTCTTGTGGATGGCCGGTGATAGTGCGGCTTTCGTTGAGTTCCGGGTTCAACTCCCCATGTGCAAAAGAAAGCAAGAGTTTTCAGTACGTGGGTGAAGCCGGGACGCTTTATGAGTCAAAAAGTCAACCTCGAGTTGACCGTTGTGTACAGAGCCTGCAATCCTCGACAAGTTGTGAATTTGAAGCGAAATAAGCTGCCGCAAATAGTTGGGTACGAAGAAAGTCTGTAGACAGGTTTGAATACTGCCGTCTCAACCCTTCCGCAAGCTGATTCCGAGCACCTCGCATAGTGCAAGACAAATGTCGTCTCATTCGTTCTGGAGCATCGTTTAGATGAATTCATCACGCAAATGTGATTCCTCGTGTGACTGCTCCACTATGTTGGTGTCCAGCTCTCAGCTTTTTTATGATTTCCTATGAAACGTCAACGATAACTGGCCGAATGTGTTGATAAGGTAGAAGAACTATCATCCGCATCATCCTCAAAACTCGCCACATGACCTAGTCATTGATTTGGAATGCAAACATGTCACATGTTGTTGTTCGCTTTCTCCCTCCCCTCCGTGGTTGCTGTGCCGGCTGAGTTGATCGAGCATTAGTCGGGATGCACAATGAGCACTCGAGCGGATGTCCATCATCCCTAGAATATTGAACGGCGTATTCTGTCAGCTTGGAAGTCCATCGTGCTCCAAAAGGTCAATCACCAATGGCAGCAGCTTTAAGATTACCAATTACTCCGGGCAGTGAGCGGTTTAACGCGTTTGTGAGTTCTGCCCAATTGTTCGCCATGGATTGAGCATACATAAAGATGCCAAAGATACTAGGAACTGTGTTGTCACTCGGACGGTGAATTTTGATCAATACGGGAACATTCAAGACCATTATGTCGTGAGATGAAGCATTGATAGAATGTAGGGGATTGGCCAACGATGAAGGGGGTAGGATGATCTCCAGGGCGGCGATGAGAGATCGCTGAAATAAACTGAGCAAAGAGGTCTCATAATATATCTGCATTTCTTCCATGCTCGTTCACTCAGTACACTGAAGCCACTTGGGCTGACCAACACACTTTTGATACGTCGTGCAACAGATAGGAACCTTGGGCCTCATTCAACCTTTTCAGACAAATCCCAAGCTTGTTTACGCAATTATTACAAATCATCGCTCAGAGTTAGAATTCAGCGGGCCTTGACTTCAAGTCAACAAGGAAGCTATTAAGGATTCGGCGCTTATGTGCGTTCTCTCCACCTTTTATCTGTAAGACAAGCGTGGTGAATGGGCTAAGTTCCTCTGTCAGGCGGCGAGCCCAAAGCCCTTTTCGAGCTCATCCTCTTGATCTAATGCTAACATCTACGTAGACACAACGCCATACCTAACCAAACCCATCGTCGCCCCGAGTAAGACCGCCAACGGCGCTGCCAACTTATAATACCGTCCCCCGACATACGCAGTAGCGGTGACAACAACCCACCAAGGGTCATCACCTAAGGGCCTCCCTGACTGGAAGCCCTCGTCAAGGTACCCGACCTGCCAGATCCGGTAGACTGCAGTGTAGATCAGCCCGACAGCTGAGGCGTTCACGCCCCGCACCATGGCCTTCACCCAGGGCCTGCTCCGCAATGCCCCCCAAACGCCCATGGTGCCGTGAACAAGGACTAGTCCTGGGGTGAAGATGCCAGCAAAGGCGATGGCGGCGCCTATGCTCGCAGGATGTCCCGCGTTGGCGGCAGTCAGGCCGCCCAGAAAAACGGCAAAGTTGAAGTTGGGGCCAGGGAAGGACTGCGCAATAGCAAGACCGATAAGAAAATCCCTCGGAGATACCCAGCCCTCGGCCACAATGTACTCCCGAAGTAACGGAATGACTACAGGGCCGCCGCCAAAGATAATGGTTCCCGCAAGGTAGAGATTAGAGAACAGACTATAAAGGACTGGAGGATCTGGGATCATTCCTCGAATGGCCATCACAGTGATGAAAGTGGCGAAGAAGGTTGCTATGATAGCAGCGCCGGTTTTCCAGGAAAATTGCAGTTGGAATTCCCTTGGAATAATCCGTGGCTCGGACCCAGCTAGAGAGCGGCGTGCATCGGCTTCCATAGGCGGCGCAATCGGACCCTGTTCGGCGCGCGAGGTACTGGCGACCTGATGCTCGGATGGTGAAGGCCGGAGAATGGCAGGTGAGATTGCCGTGTGGCCAGCGTTTCTGTCTTGCGGCGTGGACGTTCGCCTACTTGATGGGAGGTGAATCTCACCGCCAACATCCACACTCTGGAGGGTTGGGGTAGATGATCCACCTTGTCTCTTGCCGAGTAACGCTCGCATCATCTCTCTGGCCCGGACCACCGGCTTTTGAATCCAGCGGTAGTCGTGTACGATAGCCGAACAGCCCGCAGCACACATGAGTACTGGAAAGAACCATATCGCGTTATACATTATGCCCGCTGCGGCAGAGAGAAACACGAGTGTCCTTGTAAGCTTGTCATTGATGCTTTTGTCCGAGAGCTCCACGGCTGCATGGGCGATGATGCCGACAGTGGCAGCGTTGAGGCCGGAAAGAAGTGCATAGACTGCGCGCGGGAGACTCGACCCGATATAAGAAACGCCCAAAGAGAGGCCGTACATTCCTAGGGCACCGGGTAAGCTGGGATGCGATCATTAGACGGGTTTGCGATGGTGACGATTATTAAGGAGTCCCGAGAGCACATACCTCCAGATCATGAAGGCCAGGATGGCGCCGAGAAGGCCGTCTTGGATGAGATTGATGCAATAAAGCATCTTGGTGCTAGCCGGCCCAGAAAGAGCTTGGGAGATGCTGAACAGCTCTCGATACTAGGGTTCGCATAATATTAGCAAGTGAAAGCGATGGTTCGCGAATGGTGGCAATTCAAAGTCGTACCATTTGATCATCGATCCATTGCAGACGTCTCACGAATCGATCATGGAACTAATCCAGCCCACATGTAAGCAGCTGGCCTCAATGACATGGAGATAGCAAGGTCCTGTGTACTATTTTGAAATGCACTGGTGGCCCTCCAAACGCCGTCAATCCCAGATGCCAATTAACCTTGAAGGTGCCGGCCATACGCGCTGCCTTCTCTCGTAGGCTTTGCTCCCAAGCTGGAGCACGCATTTCTTGAGCAGCGAACAGGACAAAGTGAGTAAAAGTTTGCGTCGGGCGCGATCCAACGCCTTCGCGAAGCACACAGTTGAGTCGGCCAGGTGATGCCCAAAAGAAAAGGCCTCAATTAGGACGAGATACGTTACGATAGGGAGAGTTGTGTCTTCACAATCTCACCTTTACGCACATCGTCTTCACCAGCATTCGGTGGCCCAATCTGTCAAAATTTTGGCGCAGCGCACGTCATATCCCGTGACATCTTAGCGCATGCCAAGATAAAGTCTTATGTTCACTTTCCACAGAATAGAGTATCAAGAATCTGAGATGGGCGCCAGGGAACGTGCATCTGTCATCTTTCTGTAAGTAGGACTACCTCTAGGGAAGTCCGAATGTAAGGGAACACGACACAGTGACGCTCATAAAGAAGACCTCGTCTGTTCACCTCTTGCGCGATGTGATTGGTTGTGAATGCACTCCACAGACGAACGGGTCTGTGGACGATAGCTCGGGGACGGGCATGACGTCACAACCAGGCGATTTCAAGTTCTCCCACGATGTATTATAAATGGGAGTAAGTCGTTTCTACTCTCCTATACACTTCACAAAGCAGTATTTATCTACATGACTTAGGCAGGTATACCGAGACTGTGAGAATAACAAATCATGAATATCGACATCCCAAAGCTGGTCAAGGCCGCTGTGCCGGATTCCGAAGGACGAAATGCGCGCATCGTCTCGGACAATTGGAATCGCCCCGTCCACAGAGATCCTAACTTCCTGTCCAAGGACTTTCCAAGAGGTCGACCGAAGCTGTATATCAGTGCGGAAAGTGAAGAGTTTGACCAACTCACGCTAGACGAGTGGCGCGATGAGGACTTCGATGTGGAGTACCTCCCGATGGGGGGCAACGCGAAAGAGTACCGCAACAAACTCCGATCGTTGAGCAAAACCAATATGGGCCCTTGTGAGACATTTGGAATCGTGGGTTAGTAAAGTGCCATTACAAAATCAAAGAGAAGATACAAAAGCTCACTCAACCATTCGAAAGCATACGGAGATGCCGCAGCTGCCTGTCTTGAACACTATCATGTCATGGACAACAATCCAGAGTTCAAGCTGGGTCTTCTCATTGCATACTACCCAACGGCGATCCCCGATCCCAAGGGCCACTTTCCTAGCAGCATTTCCGCTCTTGTTCATCTCGCCGCGGGGGAGGAGATTGGTGTCACAAAACAGAGCCAGATGGTGGGGATTCAAGGGAAGCGACGCACGACCCGAAAAAGGGTGGAAAACGGCATGGGAATCGGAGGAATGCTGCAGCTAGCGTATCCGAGTTACACCTACGATGCGGAGCCTGGTTTTGCAGAGCACGATTTGGACGAGTACCATCCAGTTTCGGCTGAATTGGCATGGAGCCGAAGCCTTGGTGCGGCGAAGAAGGCGTTCAATAATCATGCCGACTTGGAGCTCGTGTTGGAGCAAAATGTGCAGGGTAAGCATTTCGCTTACTTTCTGGGCCAATTGCTCTCAACTGCGTGGACAGATGAGCTTGCGATGTCCCCAATGATCTCGGCGAAGCGGATCATGGCCCAAGACTCGAAGCTGACCTATTTGCAGGCAAGTTCTTCACTCGCAACCTAAACCAAACCCTTTCATCGTATACAACACACAAGACCCCTCATGTCACTCATATTCCGACATTGGCCGGCGGAGTCGGAGCGCAAGAGCTGGAAGCCTTTTACAAGCAATTCTTCAACAACCCCCCGTCAATGAAACTTACGCTTATTTCCCGCACTATCGGGACTGATCGTGTCGTTGATGAGGTTCACGTCCGTTTCAAACACACGGAAGAGATGCCATGGATTCTGCCAGGCGTCCCAGCAACGAACAAACGGGTCGAGGTGCTTGTTGTTAGCATCGTTGGGCTGAGAGGAGGCAAACTCTACCACGAGCATGTGTATTGGGATCAAGCGAGCGTGTTGGTGCAAGTTGGGTTGCTAGACCCGAATCTTGTGCCAGAAGCAGGGCGCAAGATTGGCGTTGAGAGACTCCCCGTTGTCGGTAGAGAAGCAGCAAGAAGAGTTCTGAGAGGGTGGGATGACAATGAAGGGGAGGCCGATAATGAGCTTGTGCCGGGCTGGCATGAAGAAGCGGTCGGAGATGAAAAGACAGCCAAAGGCAAGCAAAACAGTGGAGGGACGACCAAGGACCAGAAAGGGGGTCAGAAGGAGGGACATCCAGCCGCGAAGCCGTTAACGGAAAGGCCGAAGCCTACAAGTACAACATAGAACTGGCCTTGCTTGTGTTACACGGAACCTATTTCACGCGGGATGAGGAATTGTATCGATGTTCAAAATCTCATTACATTCTCCTTTGCACGTAGGTAGGCTTCAACCTACACCAATTGAGCCATTATGTTGTATTTACCGTTCGCGGGTGATCTATACATCGGCAGCTCGATGATGCCAAGACCAATCGATGGCATTACAGCAGAAAATAACCAGGTCGCGTTCGGACAAGTTTAAACAGGGCGTTATCGAGCGCTCAGCAACCTAACAAAACCTTAGATAAGAGATCATAATCCATCTCCGGGCAGGGCACGGATGCTTTGCTTACATCATCATTGTGATGCTTATCTCTCTCTCTCCGATACGGAGGATGCAGTCCAGAGTACGTAATCCTTGATACATCCAATGTTAATGCCGGCGTGTCGGGCTGCCTGCCCCGCATCTCCACCCACCACATCCCCCAATGGGCGTAACCAAGCAGCCACGCATCCAAGTCACACGGGCCCGGCACACGCTCGCTGGGAAGATCCCTCCTCCTTGGCTCCCTGCCCGAACCCATGGCCGGACAAGTCTGGATTCCTACAAAGTTCTCCCCGCTCCCGTCCGCTGAACCAACTGCAACCTTTCTTTCGATTCATTCACGGGATATACTTACGTCGGAAGACACCTTCGCCGTCACTCATACACTTTGCTGCCGTCAACAGTAAGGCCCCATCAAACCCGTGTCTTACTTTCTCCTTGTGTTGGCCTTCCCATCACAGGCGTCTGCTTGCTTCTCAACTTTTGACATCCTCCATCTCTACCTCATCTATTCGTCAAAAACCCGCCTTACCTGCCGCATGGATCGTTCAAGTCGGAATCAATTTAGTGGCAACACATATTGTTGCCTATACTGCCAAAGAGTGCCCAGTAGCTCAAGTATGCCGGATGTGAGTCGCCTTCCAAGTTCCGTGTCTCTCTATAGTCCTAGATTGAATGCCGCTAAACTGGGCATGCTGCAGAGACTCCTACTTCGTCAACGCCCACCGAGAAAAATCCAATTTACAAGTCCATCGCTTGAATCTATTTGAGCCTCGCATCCACAACCCTCGAAACTCCCGGAGAACATGCCTCCCAACCGAGTCAGAGTTGTCAAGGGCTCTTGTTGGTCCTGCAAGAAGCGACGCATCAAATGCAGTCTCTCTAAGCCGACTTGCCGCCAATGCGCTGCCTCCGGCACCAAGTGCGACTACAATAGCCGACTCATTAGATGGAGCACACGGCCAACTCCTCATGTTCCTCCAGCCTACTGCATCCCACGAAACGACTTGCACTTGACCGTTTACCTTGAAGTGTGCGAGCGGCGCGCTCTTGACTATTTCCATCTTCGCGTCTGGCCACTTCTCTCCACGGCAGAGGAACCGTGTGCTCCTCCGAGTTCGGTGGCTCTGGAGCACCGCGTCGTTTTGCTCGCTGCTTGTTTGCTGTCTGACTCTCACAGGCTCCTACAAGACGGTACGCACGACCACGATTCTCTCAGCAAGAAGCGGCTGGAATGCCTGGCTGCCGTTCGAACCGAGATAGACCGCTGCTGCGTTGAGCCCAAGAGGGATGGACCCACGACCGGGCTCTTATTTGCCGTCATCCTCTTGTACTTTGATGACGGATACATGGGTTGCATCCTCAAGTCAGCCTCGACCTCTAGTCATTACAATGGCATCCTAGCTATCCTCGAGCATTTAGGTGGCATCGAGGCCGTAGTGTCGACAGCCCCCGAGCCGCTGCACATGCTGCTCTCAGAGTTCGCGACGACGGATCTCACAACATCCATGATTCAGGGTAAGCCTCCGGCATTCCCTCCTGACGTGTGGCACCGGCTCGATAAGGGCCCTGTTTGGTGGGGTCGTGACCCGTTGGGTAGATGCTCCCTGGCGTCCGTCTTTCGCGAAATTGCCAAGATGGGCCTGTACCTACAAGCGACGAGAAGCATGGCCGAGGATCTGTCTATCGAGCGCATCCGCGAATTCGAAGCGTCCCTTCGTCCAGTCTATGCGCCACTGACTGTCGCCGATGCTGACGGCCAGAGCCCCTCCGAGGTATCCGACTGCTCCACGTCTGCAACAGAAGCCGAGGCTGTACATGCATTCACCCTCGTCCGCATCTTCCAACACACCGCCTTGCTGTACCTGTATAGAGCCATTTGTGGTCTTCCGACCCGTCACCCGCTTGTGCAGCAGCATGTCAAATCCTGCCTCGCTTGCATATTTGAGATTCCTCGGGAGGCAAACAATCTTAACTGCATCGTCTTCCCGCTGTTCATCGCCGGAGCCCACGTTTCATCGGCAGAGGAGCAAAAGGCCGTTCTTGACATGGCTGACGTGATATACGATGATATGCGATTCGCTTCGATCGACGCGGTCAAATCTTTCTTCAAGACCATTTGGCCGTCCAGATCTGGAGAGAAGACTTGGCTTGAAATCTTCAGCCATCTCAGCCCACACGTCCTAGTGCTATGACTTGTTAACTGAGGTAGCGTGCGGTTGCGCTGTGAGCGGTGAAGGAAGTGTTATGCACATCTGCAACGCCATAAAGCGGTCAAAATGAACATGTGGCCCATAAACAATCCTACTTCATTTAGGTGTTTGTAATTGATCCAAATTCGTGGCAATGAAGTCCTGAATACACAAGTTCATCTCGAGGTGAGCTATTTTCTCAACTGTAGTAACATAATACGGGGTCTTCACATGTGAATTCCTGGCTGGAGGGAATACAAGACTTGATAGTGATGAAGATCAGCGTTCGGTTTTATTATTCTGCGGGAATGACTGTACTGTACTACATATAAGGTACTACTATGAGGATTGAACGCTGCTACCAATACCTGTCCCCGCAGCTATCGTTCCAGAGCCTGTCGTCAAAGGCTGGGGGCGTCACAATTTGCTGTCTCTGGTGCCACAGCACGACTCGGCGGGCTCCGACTTGGCAAATGCGTTCTTGGATGTCTTGTCCACGGCAACAATGAAAGGCGGCACCCACAGAGCTGGGTTTTTCTTGAAGAAGTTGGAGGCTCTGATCATGACCCCAACAGGCTCAGCTGGCATGACCGGGAAATCCTCGGTGCGCGGGAAGTGTGTCAGGCCGAACTGGATGTAACAGACGATGTCGGTATTCTCAACCGGCTCCTTCTTGCTGACCCAGTCCACAATTGTTGAGTTATGCGGGTGGCCCTCATCGCCGCTCGATTGGCATACATAATCACCCGCTGGAAACAGTTCATAGTCCTTATACGGGGTGACCCAGAGCGCCTTACGGGTGAAGGCAGCTCTCTTCTCTACCATGCTTCCAGGCTTAGCGAGTATGGTAGGGCAGTTGTTGTTGAGAATCTTGTAGGCGACAGGCTTCTTAGCCACGGGATTGATGCTGTTGGGGTTGATGATGTCCCAAGAGCGGCCTGTCTCATGGCAATAGTCGGCGCCACCGGCATTTCGGATGGGTGTCTTCTTACAGTAGAAGCCGTTACCATAGAGATTGCCAGGGGACCCGAGAGGATCATCGGAAAGCGCCGCATCATTCTGCAGGACTGAATTGTTGGGCCCATCGACTTCTGGGTCCACACGCAGAGAGAAAATGTGCTGGTGGTTGTGGGCGTTGATGAACGGGGCGACTTCTGTACCGTATGGGGCCGCCGTTTCACTGGGGTGCATACAGTAGGTATTGAGCATACCTGTCAACTTGACTTCCAGCTTGTAGGTACCATCCAGGAGGAATGTGTGGTAGAAGCAGTACTCATAGTTCGCAGCTGTGATGATCTGCGAGATGATGAGTTTGCGGTCGCGGGCTGAGATGACGGTACCGTCGCGGTAATCGGTATGTTTGTAAAGCAGGCCATTGTCTTCCTCGTGAATGCAAATGGCATTCTTGACGATAGCCGCTTCACCGCTCCCAACAGCCATGATGGCATCCATGTAGTGAATCGCTCCCTTGCAGTCGCATCCGAGCTTGAGGGAATTGGTCATGAAGCCAGTGCCATACTCGCCCACGTCGAAAGCGTGCTTACGTTGGTGCGGAGGGTCCGGATTGCCATAGGGTACCACCATCTCGACCACGCTGATGCGGTTGAAGAGGCTTCGCTCACGGCCCTCATCGTCAATCCTGACGTCGGACAGAACAATACCCTCACGGTAGTTGAAGCCAATATGCATCTTCAATCCCGCCCATGAGATCTCGTTCTCGTCCATGCGGAAAGAAACGCCCTGCGGCTGGCTAATGTCGATGGGCTTGAGCCTGTCCTGGTAGCCATTGCTGATGAACTCGGGCAAGTAGTTGTGCTCCTGGAGAGACACCTTGGTGCGCTCGCCGTTGACCAGTCGGATGTCGACGGAGAGAACTTCGGCCTTTTCAGTGTCGACGACGACCGAGAAGTCCAACGGGTGGGCGTATTGGTTGTCGTCGGGAGAATTGCGATAGTAGACAATGCCCTGCTGAAGGCGGCGATCGGTACCCCATCGATGATCGAACCCAATGGCCCACGCGTCGATAAAGACTTTTGACATGTCATAGATGCCGATTTCGCGGCAAGCTTGAATGACGCGAGGGTCAGCTCGAGTGACGGTCTCGCAGATGTCTAGATCCTCCAAGGTGAGAGTCGGGGCAACATCCGCGACATCCTTCCACAGTTCCACCTGAGTGCTTTCCAAGTTGACAACAACCTCAGTCACCTGGGAAGTTCCCTTGGTGATGACAATGGCGAAGGCGCGGCGTTCAGGGCGAGGGCCGAGACCAGACTTGAAGGCAGCGTATTCGTTCTTCTTGGGCTCGCGCAAAGTCAGGCAGTTGAATTTGAGCTCCTTGGGACTAGCATAGTTCTTGATGAGTTTCGCAGCAAGCTGAATCTCTTCAATCGATAGCTGATCTTCAAGAAGGAGTCAGTAAGTAGCTCAAATATCGTGATGATGCAGAAACGAGGGAGTTGATGTTCATACCCAGAGGATGTACTCGATGCTGAGTAGACAGATTTGGAACGGTATCGCTGGGCTCTTCCCGGAAGATTGTGTAACCGGCTATAGAAGAGGTGTCTGCAATCATGATGAGGGCTGTCTGGGCTGTGCAAATATTCCATACGGTGGTATTTGTGATTCGACCAAGGTCGATTGTTGATAAGTGATGAAGTGAGAGACCTGGCAAACAGGATGGAGGGCTGGTGTGAAAACGATGCGAAGTAGTCTTCGGTTTGGTTCCTGGTAGAGAAATGTGACTGGTAACAGATAGAAGGCAAAACCGTAATGCGGGCAAGTATACCTCTTATAGTTGGAAAAGTGATGCTGGGGCGTCTGTGGACGTGACAATCGTACGAGGGCCAACTGCAGCGTCTTGCGGAGCTCTCCTAATGACAAACGTAAGATAAATTGCAATGTGCACCGTCATGTCAAGACCACAGTGCAAGCAACTCTGGCGTCTTCATAGACCCTGTCGCTGGGAGTCCCTGTCGAGCGACTCGCGCTTGGCGATTTCGGCGCTGCTTAGCCCCATTCTGTAGCGGAACAGCGGAAGGCGGAGATTTTGGGGAGAGCAGAGACCGGGCCGGGGTGCGACAAGTGGACCGGCATTGCTGCCGGGTGATTTCGTAATTGAGTAATCAGATTCGATCTCGAGGCAGAGGGGATTGCAATCAAAAGCGCGCTTTGAAGCAACAGAAGAGCGATTCAGATTGGTTCTGAGATCTGAGTGTGTCAAGGTGAAAGTAAGTGTGAATAACGACAGGTGTGCATGAGGTGTCTAGTCAAGACCAAGGGATGCCATGGGCAAGTTACTTACTGAATTAGGAAGGAAAATCGACCATGCAGCCCCAGGGATCCCCAGCCCCTGGACCGAGGGGGCGGCGGCGGCTGAATCGGCACTCATCTCGGGGTGAGACGCGCTCAACGGAACGGTGGGCGGGCGGGCATGCCAAGGCCGGCGGGCTCAAATCTCCATCAACCCACTTTGTCTTGGGAACGGGTTCCACTGGTAATGAATGTGGCACACACACGTCACGTGCGCTAGTTGATTATGTTGATTGCGTCTACGCAGTATTAGTGACCCTATTCTTGAGCCTGAAGGATTCAGGCATGAAGTTTAAGAAATATCTATCTAGTGCCAACATGGAGCAATCACCTTAAGATACCAAGATCAACGAGTGTACTATGTAAAACTTAGGTTGATTAAGGTTGAACCATGTCCCGGCTCAAAGTCTTGTTTACGGAAACATACGATATTGAACTGAATGCTATGCGTAAGAAGACTCGAAGAGTAAAAGCTAACAGCGTGTACATTGCATTTGTCTGCTCGAAGATGGCGCCTAATTCTTACGAGGAACCGGAGCAATAGTCACCTCGGCATTCTGAGCCTCAATAATTCGCTCTGCCGCATCATCCGTCTTGAGATACGTGTACTGCCCCTTGATGAACCAGAAACCCAGAGTCACCACCATCATGACTCCAAAGACTGCGATTGCGTAATTCATATCAGCTGGTGCTGGATTGGGTGCCGATGGAAAAAAGAAAAACACCGTAGTAATAGCGCAGTAGATGACGGAGATCCAGTTGATTGCCGGGCCGAGGCGTCCCAATCTGAACTCTCCAGGCGGAAGCTTGTCTCGCCCGACGAGTAGGAGAGTCAGGATAGGCATCCCATAAGATATCGTAAGGGCGATTGTGCTGACACTGAGAATCGCCTCGAGCACCGTGTTAGCAAACATGTAGAGCACGCCAACAACGCCAACAATGGCTCCCTGAAGCCATAATGCGCGAGCCGGCACACGCCAAGCCTCATTCACCCTTGAGAAGTAGCTGCTCCAGGGCATCCCGCCATCTCGCGCAAATCCCCAGGTAAGACGAGAGGCGGTGGTAACAATACTGATAGCTTGACCAAGACCATTGAAGATGAATAGGGAGAGCAGGACAGTTGCCCCCTGCAGTCCGACAGCCTCATGAACTAAATCCATGAAAGGCAGACCAGTAGGAGGGTTTAGGATGGTGTCAAGATTCTGGATACAGAACAAACACACCACCATGAAGATAAACCCAGTAAGAGCTCCCAGTGTGACTGAAAGCCAAATAACGCGCGGAATGTTTTTGCGAGGTGCCGGGATTTCTTCAGCCAAATGGACAGCGGAGTCAAAGGCCGTCAACCCATATGCAGCTTGAAGAAGGCCTGTAAACCAGGTCACCCCGTCTCCCCAGCCAGTCTGGTTGATCCATTGTCCAAAGACGAATGAGGCTGGCTGGAACTGCAAGTTTGGTCTGACTCCAACGGAGATGAGAAGGGCCAGGCTGAAGATGAAGAAGAGTCCGATAAAGCAAATTCCGACAAAGTTGTTGAATGCCGGTAGTATAGCATCTTTCCGGCAGGCAACGAGATTGGCGACCGTAACCACCAGAGTGACGGCAAGATAGAGAAGAAAGTTGATCCATCCAACACTGACCTCGGACCAGTCCGGCACAAAGAGAACCTTCATGCTCAAGATAAAGTTGGCCATGAAAGCAACTTGTGAGGCAGAAAGCGTCCACCATCCAAAGGTATTGATCCATGCGCAGAGGTAGGACACAAAGCGACCAGATGGCCACAGACGAAATATCCAGTACGCCTGTCCCAAGGCTGTTGGCATACTACTGCAGAGCTCCCCCAATGAGACGGCCACGCAGATATTGCAAAACAGGACGAGGACGAGGCCCCAGAGAATAGCAACTGGTCCGCCGCTGGTGATACCGCTCGAAAGTCCTTGCGCAAATGTAGACCAAGTTCCCAGTACGGATATGGCGAGGAATAGCATGCTCATCCTGCTGAATTTTCGCGAAAGGGCCTGGTCATGGCCGAGATAGGCGAGATCCTGCGCATCTTGAGCGACCTGGTCGGCGGTCTTTAGATGGTCGAGTGGTGGATTCGATTCCGGGTCATTCTCCATAGCTCGGGACAGAGACTGAAAATCTGAGTTGGCTGAATGGCGAATCCGATTATTGAAATTTTGTGTGGTTTCGTTTCGCGCGGGTGCGTTGTCTGGGCTGTGATGGGACTCGAGAGGGAGTACGGAGTTGAGGTGATCGCTTGCAAGAGGTGCGAAGTGCTTTTTGTATGAGATGCAAGGATGGGCTGTCAGCGCCCGAAATATTCCCCTGGAATTGATAAGGAGGCGGATTGCTAGCAAGGTTGCAACAGCCTGGGTAGATCAATGTCGCGCTCGTTCCCTAATATCCTTCTTTCATATGCTGGCAGCACCCGATATTCGATTCGGATACGGATACAGTACGTTGTATCAAGATTGGTGTGGTGAAGATCCGCAAGGTCGAATAAGAGCGCAGTGCGCGTACGGACACACTGCCCCTGTGTCTGCGTAAGTTTTGGCTGTGGGTGTGACTAGTCTACACCCGCCATGCCAGGCTGATTACAACAAAGTAGCCCGGCATTGTATTCCGTCAAAGTCACGGCCCGGTCGACGAGTACTTGGGTAAGGTTTGACAGCCGTTGGGCCATCGAAGTAAATTCCTTCATCAACTGTTCGCCTCCAAGTTCCCGAACCATCACGAGTTACTTACTCCCGCTATCACAAGATCAAGGTCGCGTTATCTGCAGGAATTACGTACTAGTTCAGACAGTTGACACCTTGGAATCGCGGGGTGAGCCCCACAGAGCTGGTATCGGCGGGTCGTTCCCAGTATGCGTGGATCGAGTCAGTGCCCCATCAGAAGAGTTCACAACGTCATGGGTGGCCCCAGTCAAATACCTGTTGACCAAGACCAATCCAAGCTAATTGCATTACCGAGCTGATAAGAACCCCCCCATCCTAGACCCATTTCTACCTAGTGGGCTCTTGAGTAGGTGGCCGGATGCCGCGGGGAAAATGTAACATGACCAGAGTGTCGTCTCTCGAACTCTTCAGCTTCTCCTGCCCTGAAAGGAAGTGAAGCAGCTTGCTACACATGTCCATCCGCCATGTCGCTCGCGGTCCATAGACATCTGTTGTATAGTGTCATTGCGGGTGTCGGCAATCACTCCACCAGGAAAGCTTGGGTCAGCGCTACATGGTGGAAAGGGGTGTAGAGAAGAAGGGGTGTAGAGAAGAATGGGGTTGGATCTGTTGGCTCGGCCACAAAAGATTTCTGGCACAAACGGAATGAGCGTTGCTATGTTGTGAGTTCGGTCATCTCATCATCTCTAGCTATGAAGCTGGAACAACATACAAATTTATTCAAGAACACTCTCTCTCCAGATGTCAGTAGGCCAGTGATGATTGCCCAGTGTAGGTATGGTGTCCTAGCTCACGGACAATCGTGTAAACGAGGTCAACCCTAAAATAGCCTTTGAAAAGTTCTGGCTCCTCGACTGGTACCTGTATTTGCGTACCTCATGCAGCTCGGAAAGTGTGCTTTGAGGAGTGGATGAGATGTCCCCTTGGTCTGCCATCCATGGAGCAATCCTTAATCGATGGGTCCCCCACCTTGTATTACATCAAGTCTCTTTCAGTGAAATATCCGTGCTCCGTCCTGTTTACGAAGGATATCCATGACCCGTGACCCGTGAAGTGAGCACCTCGCGGAGTCGCGCAACTTGGGCTTATTGCTTTCCTTTGAGTCGAGACATTGCACCCCGAGTAAGGGGTATCATAATTAGCCCCAAACATGAACTCACCACGGGGTCCGCTAGCCGCTTATCATTGAACCATTCCGACGCTCAGAACGCGTTCGAAGTCAGCTTTAGGCACAAGGCATCTACGGGGTACTGAATCTCTACGAGCGTTGATAGAGGTTGGTCAATGTCTAGATCATGGCCTAGTTTCTTTCCCGATTGAGCTTGGCTCTTAGCCATCTGATCAACTTGATCTGATACCAGCGGTGCGGCGAGACTAAGGAGCACCCTGGCACATTGGTTCCGGTTTGCCATCGGCCCTTCGGCGAGCTAGAGCTGGTACCTGGCACGTGGTGTCGCCGGGGTAAGCAGCTTGGCCAAATTTCTTTCCTAATTTGGCGTGCAATGGCGCCCTACCGTAGTGTTATGGCAGGGAATTAGATATCTATCACCCAACAACCGCGTTCCAAGCGCGTCTAGCCGTC